ACCAATAACTTAATAATAAAAAAAAAAAGAAACTAAGAAAATGCTGATTTGTCTGTCCGGGTTCGTGATACCGCCCCCTGTCAGGTGAGCTCTTGTTATGTTTTACCAGGGCGAGTGAGTGTTTGCTGTGGAACGGCCAGTGTTTGGATGGTACACACGTTCACAGTGTCGGTTGTAGTGGACACTGGATGGCGGGGAAAAGTGAATTAATCTCAAGGTAAACTTATTGTAGAGTTATGGGGATATTAAGAGATGTGTGCTGTGGGTGAGTCGCAGTAAGAAGCCCGGGAACTCTGTCCATGACGTGGATTGGTTAGGTTAGGATATGTTAGGATAGGTATAGGATAGGTAGTATAAACCAAAGTCAGTGATGAGGCTTATGACGACTAGATTGGTTAAAAATATTACTAATTAATTGTGTTATCCTCGGTAAATGTTTATTTATGTGTGTTTATACTGTGTGAATCATTACTAAATAAATTGTGATCTAATAAAGTGTCTCATTTGACTGGTGGGTAATATGTAATCTAACCTAACCTAATATAAAATCTAACTTAACCTAACCTAATATAAAATCTAACTTAACCTAACCTAAACTAACAAGTGAAACATAATAAAAATAGTTTTGTAAATACACTGTACTTACCACCTGTAGTTCATTTTTGTACACATCTCATTAAGGACAGGTAGGATAACCTTCTCATTACGGTCGTTTAATTAAGTCCTAGAGCCACAGGACCTTGTTTACCATAGATCCTTTTCATCCTTCTCTTATTGACAGGATACCAAAATTCATCCTAGTTGAGTCTTTGTGCAATTTTGACGTCATTGAGTTCACCATCAAGCCAATTGGAATGATGCAAGGGGAAAATCCGCCTCTTTGGTTGGCTGGAAATCATTTAACGTATTGGAATCTTTTAGACTCCGGATTGTGTCGTGACGTTTCTAAAAGGTGTAAACAAATGCCCCTCTCCCTCTCCCCAATTGTGTGTTTATATCATGCAGCCTGGTGGCATGTGTAATACTTAGTCTGTGTAACATGCAATTGTCGCCGACCAAAACCACTGTAGTTTATGGTGTGTCTGTCTGTCCATCGATTACTTACCAGGTGTGTGTGTAATAATAATAATTGACGGTTTATTAAGATAACATAGCAGCCCGGAGGCTGAAAATATACACTGAACAGAGGTGATAGGTTACATATGGTGGTAGCGTAGAGTGAGGGGCGATAAGGTGGAGGTGTATAAATGGAAGTCGGCTAAACAAAGGGGACATTACAAAGGTACTTAAACTATCCAACCAGGAGCGAACTCGTAACAATGGTTTTAAATTAGACAAATTTAGATTTAGGCGCGAAATAGGTAAACATTGGTTTGGAAATACTGTAGAGTAGTGGACGAGTGGAACAAGTTACCAAATATCATTATTAACTCGAATACGCTGGATAGCTTCAAACATAGGTTGGATGGATATATGAGCAATAGGGGTTGGGTGTAAATGGGACTGCCCAGTATGGGCCAATAGGCCCGCTGCAGTTTCCTCCATTCTTATGTTATTATATATGTCCACTCATCACCAATCATGTTCTTGTTGCCTGTGAGTCATCTGTAAATGAAAGATTAGTGAGTGTTAATTTATTTTTCTGAAGACTGTTGTGCTGTTATTTTAGGGGATATGATAGTAAATGTTGTCTATTTCACTACTTTTTATATCAGCAGGATGTTCACAGGTGTGTTTGTCTATTTTAAAGTAAAAGGTTAGCCATTGATGCAACCTACGACAACACAAGCCTCGAGTGGTTATGGGGTGAGGTGGAGTGGCTAGGGTGGTTCTCGTATTTTTTTTATCGCGCTGGTGTTTTGTGCGTGAAAATTAACTTAGCTGTAAAGATTCCGTCAAACTATTTTTACTTAAGGCTTTTGCGACCTTTGAATACCTGACATTTGTTTCTTGATATTATTAATGTGAGTGTGACAAGGCCATTTTCCTATTTACCCCATGAATGACTGAAACCATTGCAGTTGTTTGAAGCTATACAGACAAGTTGGAAATATTGAGTGGGTCAGTATTTATGGAGGTGGAGACGTGTAGAAGTGTGTTTGCGGTTACGTGGTTTGTGAAGATGTGTGTGAGGGGTGACAGCCGTTATCAGCCGTTGTGGTGGTGTGGGTAGCAGGGAGACACCCGTACTCAGGCACGCGCCATGTCTCCTCTGTCTCATTTACAGTGACGGGCATAAATTCTTTTGTACTGTTGTTCAAGACAAAATTGTAGGTTTGGTCTGTTTTCTGTAACAGATTATTATGGTGTGGTTATATAAAGGCAATGATCTCTAGAACAGCTGTTAGTAGTGTTTGTGTGGATAGTGTTGTGGCGCGTCGGGGGTGGGGGGGACCTGTCACCCGGTAGTCATCACTCAGTAGAAGTTGGGGTGAGAGGGGAGGCTCCTCGTGAGGTCACCAAGGGTCGCCCATCCCAGTCCTACGCCCTATTCCGTGTTCTTATTGTGTGGGAGTATTGTGTACTACATGTGTTTCTCTTAATCAAGTCTACGGACCATTGTTTGTTGTCGCCACCCTCTTCTCGCTACTTGGTCGAGGACTCTAGGATGGCGCCGTTTGGCAGCAAGACACCGGCCATTAGGTAGAATATACCTTGGCTTGATCTGAAAGTGCGGTGTCATCAACCTCATTAACGCAAAACCTTCAGACGTTTTTTTCCCGACAGCTTTCATCCATCAGCTCTATCGGCTGTAGATTAGGGGTGAAAAAGAGGGGCCCGTTCCTGATAGAAATAGTGTGGGTACAGCACACTGTATACCATGCCTTCGATATACAAGGAGGCAGCGTGACCGGTACTGCACTCGATCACTTTCACTTCACAAAGTTGTAAATTCAGGTACCCATTTATAGACAGGTACCCCAGGAATAGGAGGCGAGTGCTGTATCCACTGGTCTATTCGGGCAGATTGGAAGTTTCATTCAAATCGTTTCACGGCATCACAAGGTGCCGAGTTTTGAGGAAATATAATTACCGATTACTGAATATTTTCATACCGTATTATGTACTTTTTGTAAGGAAAATATATAAATGTTTTTATGTAAGTAAACAAAAATTGTTTTGGCGTAGCAATAGTTGCCAATTGTTAGTTTTCAATACCGAATTACCCGAAATTTGGTATTAAAAACCCGGTTTGATATTTAACAAAATAATTTTGCATTCTGGCATCACTTAGCATAAGTTCTTAGTACCTTGCGTGTATGAGTTTATAAATTATAGTAATTACATTAACTTACGGATGACTTTTTGTGATAAAATAAAGGTATTGTGCTGCTTATTAAGTGATGCTATGACTGTATGTTTACTAACTTTTATCCATATTTTGTTAGTTGTTGCTGTGTTAGGAAATTTGGCATTGAAACGCTCAATTTGGTAATTAACCTCAACGAATTTGGCAATAGTGCAATCATGAGACTTGGCCAATTTTACATGGATCAGGGACTTGCTCCTCCTTGTCAGCCATGTTCCTGCCTCTTAGTGCACAATAATACGCCTACAGCAGTGTATCATTGGGTCTCCGGCGTCCATCTTGCTTGTTGTGAACAGTGATGGTGCCAAAATAAAAAGCGTGGCGTCTGTTTGTGTGATGGTAGTTCTTACTTTCTTTTATACTGAAATGTGAATGCTGGTAATGAGTTGTCAGTTGAAACTTGCCGGACAAATAGCGCTTGTGATATCGCCTGTTTCTGTATATTAGCTTTTCCCTTGGGTCTGTGTTTACTGATGTAGGCGCTGAAAGGCAAGGTTGTGGGTCATTGGGATCTTTCTCATCGTCCTCAAGTGGGGTAGAAGCATATTGACAGTTGACCTGCTGTATATCAGGTTGGAGGATACAAATGTGTGGTTTTAACGAAGAACCAATGCAATAATTGGTCCTGAAACAAATATCTGGAAAAATATTGCTTTGAAATAGTGTGCCCGATTTACCCACTTTTCAACATCCCTCCACAAGTGCTCAATGTTTTGCATATGCACTTGAACATCTTGAGGATTCAGAAAGTTTTAAGAATGATTCACCACATAATGCATATAGCCTTGACATCAACGTCAGATACACTCCCCAATCATCACTATATTGATAATGGAGCTAGAACGGATGTATTTAAGCAGAGTAGTGAATAAAGGTTTCACTGTCATGCTTGTGATTTAATGGTTCCACAAGCAGCACTACAAACAGTTTTTGGATTTGTGCTCAATTCCACCCAAAACCCAAATTTGGCTCCGTAACTTTCCCCTTTCATATTTGCATTGGCCAAAAAAGCGACTCGTCAACCTCCACGAAGACACCTTCACATCTGATAGGTTTCTAATTGTCAAACCAAAATTCCGTAACTTCGAAACAGAAGCTACGCCAATCAACGATCACATGCCTTGGAAAATTTCAAACACTTGAAAATAGTTTCCTGGTTCCACTTTTTCTGGAGCCAGTGATTCACAAAAAGGACAAGTTTCCAGGGTTCAAAATGATACATCTCCAAAAAACTGCCTTTGTAATTGGTAATGGTAAAGTTACACTTTTTTTTGGCTTTTGGTTTTGGTGATAACTTTGGATCATCCACAATAGCACTGATGCCCATCCTCTCTAAAGTGGCATGGTAATTCACGATTAGGGCACTGAACAGACAAAGGCAATAGTTTCTTAATTATTTTGGTGATACAGTATTTAGTGATGACTGACCAGAAATCTACATTACAACCAGCACACACGTCCATCTTGGAAATAATTCACATTTACCCGCATGCCCCACCCAGAAAGGTGTTTTAGAATTGTCTTAATTATTGAATAGATTTTTTGAATTGTGTATATACTGTACTGTCCTGTAATACATATTTTGTGTGTGACTTGATGCTGCTAGGTAGGCTGCAGTTATTTAGTTGACACCATAATATCACTAGTCTGTTTAATCTATGCCATGGCTAACAGATTGTGTTTGTTTCAGCTCCCCGGTGAAGGTAGATCGTGGGTACTGTGGTAAGGGCCCCCCAGGACGAGGTTTAGGTCCTGCTATCACCAAGTCTTACAGTGTTGAGAGCTCGGCGCCCCCCGTGCCTCCACACCACCTCCACCAAGCACACCATCACCACCACCACCACAATGGCAGTCACAGTGCCCGTCGTTCACAGGTACAGTATATTATGTTCACCTGAGTTACCTAGAACACTGCTCCAGGTATTCTGAAAATATGTATATACCTGTGTTATTGTTTCTGAATTAGTGAAATAAAATAATATTCTTCCCTTTCTTTACTGTGTAGTTGTAAGTTGAGAGAACTTCATTTTCCATACGTAAAGTTAGGCTGCATTACTGGTCACGGCAAAAGAACCCGACAGGTTTTTTGGGGCTATTTTGCCTGTCCGTTGTTTATGTAATAGAAGTACTGAAATGATACAATAGTATTTACAGCTCCTCCCCGACTTACGACCTACTCAACTTACGACCACCTGGACATACGACCGCCTTAGTCGTACCAAAATTTTGTCAAATTAAGTATTTTCGAGTTCCAACGTCAGTGATTGCGCTGTGTACTGACAAAATTTTCGTTTGTAATTCACTTTAAAATGGCTGGCAAGCTTAAAAGTGAGAGTTTTGTGGTGCTGAGAAGAAAGAGACACCCATTTTAGATTTTCTATGTACAGTGTATTATTTAAGCATTTTCGACTTACGACCTGGATTTGGGTCCCTAACCCCGTCGTAAGTCGGGGTGGAGCTGTATTGGAATATGCCCCCAAAAAGCTATGATTATAATTTTGGAAAAAAAAAATAATTGGTTACATTAGGGACGAGCAAAATAGCCCAAAACAGCCTGTCAGCTATTGCAGTGACCAATAATTTAGCCTGTCAGGCTATTTTGCCTTTTACCATGACCAGTAATTTAGCCACTGCCAATAATTAAAATATAGACAAGTGTTTTTAATTATTATATCACCATTTATAAGCCTACTAGCCATTCAGGTAGTTGGTCTATTCTTTGTTATGGCTCACTATGTTTGGTAGGGTCACACTGGATAACACTATTTTCACATTTGTCCTGAGCTAGGGATTAAACCCAGGTGATGGTAGTGACAGATAATCACATTTCTGCTGTACCACCAACATTTATATACTTACTGTATATTGAAGGTTGACCACATTATATGCCAGTCCTTGGTGTCATGATATGGCCAGATTAACAGTGCGACGTACTGATGGTTGTTATGGTAGTTGCAGCAAGCTGTGTCGCAGAGTAGCGGTGTTGGTGTGGGCAGTCGGCGGCAGCCACGGGGGTCTACAGCTGATGACAGTGGCAACCGCAATAGTCGCTGGCGAGGCAGTGGTGCCCCAGGCAATGTCCAGGGATATGAACTGTCTCAAGACTTCGCTGATATGCGACTTGAGATGCTGGAACGCAGGTTTGTGTTTATTTATCTCATCATAATTTTATACTTTGTTTCTTTTTCAGTGTGAGCATCAGTAGGCAGTACAGTCGTGTTAAAGTTTCTAATGAATTATTGATAAGTTTTGGCCACAAAATACGGTAATGTTAATACCGTGCCACATAATGAGTTTTTGGTAGTACCAAATGCTATAGGTGACTTGGGCCATTCCTTGATATTACTGAACTGATATTTAGGTGGCAGAATTACTGTACAGTATACTGTATATATTTTTGGTATTTGATATTCAAGCTAGGAGACTCATCTGTGAGGCTCAAGTGTTTTAAGGTAATGTATCTAATATTTTTGTTATACTTGTAGGTATGGAGGTGTGGTAGCCAGGCGTGCTGCCGTCACCATCCAGCGAGCATACCGTCGTTATGCCATGTATAAGAAGTTCCGCTCCATCACAGCCACAGCCAAGGCCCAGGAGAAGCGACTGTCCCGCAGGTTTACTGTGGATGTTCCTGAATGGACTGACCCTGCAGGTCAACAGTATAATGATGCTGAACATCTAATTCGATCTGAGTTTGACCAACTACAAAGAAATCTTAATGCAACAGGTATGTAAGAATTTAAAATTGACTGAAAGGCTTTGTAACATAATTTGTTTGGAATGTCCTTAGAACTTTCCCCTTTTATTTCTTTATGCCTTAATTTTTTTGAGATTTTTGTAGATTAATACATGTATAATTAATAAGAGTATTATGATCACAATTGTATGTCAGTTTTATCTTTGTAATATACTGAATAGGCTAAAAAGGTTAATTTGTACTTGTACTATGGCCCATAATGTACAGTATTTACATATATAGTGTAGCTTCTTTATTTTTTATACAATATTCTTTAATTTTGGTTGTTGTTTATAGTTAATGTTACTTTTGCAGTGTATGGCGAAGGCAGGCGGCCAGCAAGGTCCTTGTCCATGCGTGACACCCCACGCACAACAACCCCTATCACAGCTACTTCCACCATAAGACAACAGCAAGACCCATATGACCTACATGATACCCTTGCTTCAATGAATGACAGTTCACTTTATTGTCATGTGTCGGCCCAGTCTCCCCTTACCCCAACATCCACCTTAACACCAGCTCCTACTCATGTTAGGAATGGTTCTGGAGATTATCAGGGGCAACAAAATGACCGAGACTTGAAGTACATCTCTTCAGAGGACAGTGGCCTTGTAAGTTTAACAGAATATTGACAACTGTATGTACACTTGCTGGGCTGCAGCCTTCTTCATTATTTTGAAAATGGAACACTATTTTTTCTTCAAACTACAAATTTTTGTCCAAAAATTTTCTTACATAACATTAAAATTATTTTTTTCTTGAGTTTTGCAAGTGTAAAGTTATTTTTGTACTGTGTTATATAAAGTAAAATAGTTCAATGCACCATTACATCTTCCCCTCAGCTAGCATATGATTTATTCAAACTGTGTTGTTTTGCTCACAGACTAACATTCTTTACTTCCTGTCACCATCTCTGTTTATTTTCATCTCTTTACTTTTATTCACATCCACTATAAACCTCCCACTACTGCATTATTCTACATAATTGGACAGTTTTTCAGTTGGTGGTGTTGTATAAAAACCAATAAATGGCATTTTGCAATCTGAATTAATGGTTGTAAAACATGAACTGAGAAATACAGCAACAAATGATCTAACAGAAATACCTTTTGAGTTCAAGCATTTACTGTATTAAGTTCATGCTTTATAACTGTCAATTCAAATTACAGAATGCCATTTTTGGCCTTCGTACATTACCACCAAGTGAAAAACTGCCCAGTCATGCAGAAAAATTCTGTAGCTACTCTACTAAATACATATTGTACACCAGTACTTCCAAATTCACTCAAACATCTGTAACTTATCTTTTGAAATGCCTCTTATTAGTGTCCATTAGTGTTGGGCCCTCTTGCTTCCATCTATCTCACTGCATCAGTCATGAACTTACTGAACAACATCCTACTTTCACTGGGAATTAATTCTTCATCATACATCCTTAGTGCTTCCCACATAACTCTTCTGTCAACTCTTATAACATATCCAGATTCTTAAATGTTGGACATAGTTGATAACCAGAGAGTAAATGGAATTGTTTTATTATGTCATGAAAAATAAACTTGCTATCTAATTTATTTATTCATTTGTCACCATCATCATCATTTGTATAGTATAATATATATATATATTTTTTTGATACAGGGTAGTCATGATAGCTCATCCTTGAATCGCATCACCGTGAGTGGACAAAGACGTATCCGTGGCCCAGGAGGCAAGAAAATTCCACCTGAAGTACCGCGTCGCACATCTTCTATTAAATCCAGTGAGAGCAGTGGAAGTAATGACAGGTGAGTGACTGAGACTTTGGTACTACAGTATAACTCTTAAGGCCACAACAGTCCTTTATTTAACCTGGGAAATTTTGTTCACCAGTACAAGCACATACATAATATTACACACCTGGGCCTTCTGAGTGTAGACTGGTAGGTATGTTATATTATTTTTCAGTTGTTCAGGGTACAAGTTAAGGAAATTGAGAGGGATTTATGGGTTCTGTGGATTATATGACTGTCTGTAGTATCTCGGTCATGTAAGAAATCTCACATTCATCACCTGGGCTTCAGTGTGCCAAGATTCTGAAAGGTGTGCAATCTCTTAATTCTAGTCATTAGTATCCTTGTTTGATGTGACTCCTATTACTTCATTTTATTTGTTTTTAATTATTGGTTTTTTGTGTAATGGGTCACCTTCTACAACTTTATAAGAGGAAGGATTTTTTTTCTCTTTTGAGGGGTTAGGTTAGGGGAAAATTGTAACTTATTGGTGAAAGGGTTAAAGATGATGGCTTAATAAAATGGTAATGTTGGCTTTTGTTTTATTACTGCGACATAAAAGATCATACGATAACAAAAGTTTTCTTGTCTCAGTTTACACATGTTTACCCATGTGTTGTCAGTACAGTGTATTAATTTTCAGTTATGGACAATGTACAATATATTGTACTTAACAAAATTCTGCTGACTTATCTTGCCTTAAGCAAGAAGTGTGCTCTTGATAATAGGAGTGTATATTTATTTAATAAAAATGCACTTGTGGATAAAAGTATTTATAAACACGTCTGTTTGGTACAGTGTTACAACCCTATCAACGGCGGCAAACCACAGACTGCAGTGCCCTCCCCCATCCCTAACACCACCATCTTCAACCCCTTCATCACTTACATCTGAGGGAGGTCACAGTGACAGAGGACCACTCACAAGGTTGGACCTGTTTCTAATATATATATATATATATATATATATATATATATATATATATATATATATATATATATATATATATATATATATATATATATATATATATATATATATATATATATATATATATATATAGATAGATAGATAGATAGATAGATAGATAGATAGATAGATAGATATCACTGTAATTATAAAGTGAAGAACTTTGTTATACAATACAGTTCAGTACTTGTAAATGTTTATAATTAAGAAAAATGAAAGCTTTTCATCACTAATATACACTTTTTGATATTCATTGATATCTAGATTCCATTATACAGCAGATGGAAAGTTATAAAATTAATAATTTAATACAGGTTATTATAACAATATTTTTTCTTCATGAATTAGGTCTGTGGACAATGGGTCCCTGTCCAGCGTCCAGTCCTCTGGGTCAGACTCCTCGCTCTCGCAGTCTACCTCAGATCGGGCCACGCCTCTGTCTACCCACGACCAAGTGGATAATTCAGACTATCATCCCACTTCCCCAATATGGAAACGCAAACATCAAGTAAGTCAACACAGCAATGGCAAGCTGTCACATACAGGTATATTTTATTTACCTAAATATGGATGTCTTATATCTTAAATTTGTAATGTTATCTGGAAGACTTTTATAATTTTAAGCTTTGTAAACTGCAAATACTTCGTCTTTCTGCATTCTGTTAGTATTTTGTTTAATTTGTTGCTATTTATAAAATGTCTGGTAATCAGGACAAAATAAATACAGTAATGAGTATTCTTATCTATCTTTAAAATGCATCTCTTTAGTAAATAGGTCTGAGTCATATGCATCATCTGTAGTTAGTCCTTTTTTGCATCCACTTTTAGTTAAATAGTTTTTCTTCGTATTAAAGAATGCCATTTTTAGATTCTTAGAAATTAAACTCACAGTGAATATAGATTTTTCCCTCCAGCTTCATTGAGTGTCTGAGTTTTCCTCTGAGGCTCCATAGATTGTAAGTATGTGTAATTGGTTTCACAAAAATTAAAAAAAGCTTGAAACTTCCACCAGCAGATGAGCACAAGTGACGTCATCTGCGACGATAAGAGGTTGAGCCAGATCAGCGAAAACTCAGAAGATTCCCTGCAGTCCCATTCCTCTGAGGGAATGACCTATTCCCAAACCATCCCCTCACAGATCCCACACTCGGCACGCTACGCCCATGCCCACTACACCCACACTTCTCACTTGCCCAAGGTAGAGTAGACGATCAGTTTTGTCAGTAATGCATAAGGATACAATGACACAGTTTCCCACATTTTGTTTTTTTATGAAAGTTACGACATTATCAGAATAATATGCGTAATGCAGTTGAATGGTTTTCCTTGCATAAATATATTTATATAGCCCAATGGTTACAGCACAGTTCAGTACAATTTTAAAAACATGGAAAGAGCATAAGATATGAATTATATAAGTTATATATCTACAGGTAGTTCTGCTATAATGCGATAATTGTGTTTTTGTAAAATATCGTGTTATAGAAAATCGCGTAAAAGAAATAACAGGGCTTATGGAGAAAATAGGGTTAGGTGCAGATTACTCGAAATCGAAAAAATTTAGTAGTCGGCCTAACACAAAGGATAGCACAGTCTAAATAAATGTTACATTCATATCTAATAATGAAATCATACAGTAAATGTAACACTTTACCTTGAAAAAATATGAATGTAACTTGATGGGGGAGAAGGGTGATTTTGAGGTTGATAACATCGAGCTTCTCTTCAAGTGTTATATCCTTTCTTTTACGATCATCACCGGGAATTCTATCACCAGAACGCTTCTTGGAGATATTCTTCTTTACCATATTCACAGTTAATACCACAAAATTGGAGAAATAGTAAGCAAAAATCGCGTTATACAAATATCGTTCCTAATTCATAAATCGCGTTAGAGCAAATTCGCGTTATCAAAACACGCGTTATAGCAGAACTCGCTGTACTGTATTTCATACAACTGTATATCAAATTATATACACTTAAACATTAATCTTGAGGAATCTCTGTAGTCTATTTCAAATAATATTTCATAAAGTGGTTACCGTATATACTCGTCTATAACCCCCCCCCCCTCGTTTATAGGTCGACCCTGATTTTTTGACCAAGAAATAGTTGATTTACGATATTCCTCATTTATAGTTCGACCCATGTTTTTGAGGGTAATGGAACAACAAAACCTTCAGTAAAAACGCTCTACGTCCTATAAACTGAGGCTCGCCGTGCCTGAAACACGAGTGCCGAAAGCAAATTGTTTACCATTTATTATTACGACACTTTACACTGAAACGCGGGTAGTTTCAACAAAAATATTGTATATTTCCATTCAAGTATTTATTCAAGTCAATTAGGAGGGAATATTATTGCAATACAACAGTTTTTTAACTAAACCATTCGAAAAGTTATTACGGTAACATCTTTTGAACGAAAGAAAGCGAAAGTCATTGTTTTCGTCACAATTTTATCCCACTTTCCACTGTAATACGTACGTAATTTCAGCAAAAATATTACATTTCCGTGAATGTATTATATCAAGCACAATATGAATAGAATATCATTGTAATACAACAGAATTTTAACCGAAAACTATTAAAAAAAAGAGTAACATCTCAAGAACATCGGAAGCTTAGGTAAAGTCTTTTGTTTTCGTCATGTATTTTATTCTATTTTACATTGAAATACATCACGTTTCAGCAAAATTACTATCTATTTCCGAGAATATATTCATTAGGGCGCAGTTTAGGTAAAATATACGTGTGATGTAATAGTTTTTTAACTGAAAACGATTCGAAAAACACGTACCCTCTAGCCCTGTTCAAGGAGAGGACTGGGAGAAGATGTTTGGTGCTGCAGATGATGATAAGGAAAATGATTTTGATGGATTTTAATGAAAATATTCAGAAATATGGTATCGTAGTATTTATTCAAGTCAATTAGGATAGAATATTATTGTAATACAACAGTTTTTTAACTGAAAACCATTCGAAAAGCGATTACGGTAACATCTTTTGAACGAAAAAGCGAAAGTCATTGTTTTCGTCACGATTTTATCTCGCTTTTCACTGTAATACCTACGTCATTTCAACAAAAATATTACATTTCCGTGAATGCATCATATCAAGCACAGTATGAATAGAATACCATTGTAATATAACTATATTTTAACCAAAAACTATTAAAAAAACGAGTAACTTCTCTTGAACATCGGAAGGTTAAGTAAAGTCTTTTGTTATCGTCATGTATTTTATCCTATTTTACATTAAAATATATCACGTTTCAGCAAAACTACTATTTATTTCCGAGAATATATTCATTCAGGCACAGTTAAGGTAAAATATACATGTGATGTAACAGTTTTTTAACTGAAAACGATTCGAAAAACACGTGTACCGTCTAGCTGATACAGCTGGTGTTGCGTGATGCATCATGCGTCGTTGTAAACAATAGGAGGTTGAAGTAGATTACCGGGTATTATATTAAGTGTGAAATATCGAAAAGGTTTTTATTACCAGTATTTTTTGAAGATCAAAGAGAACTGTGGTACCGTGTATGATAAGTTAGCCTGTGCTAAGAACTTCAACATAGACTACTAAAAGCACGTTGTAAGGTAATTTAGCCTATTGTAAGTTGGTGAGATTCATTTGCTGAAGGAACTGCACAACTTTTCATTACTAATTGGTACATATTTTACGTTTCCATTGTTTACTGGCAGTAAATGGTAAATATTTTTCATGTCTGAAGCTAAAAGTTGCTCCTCGCCCTTCCCATCATGCACGGGTTCAACCTAACGAAACTAGTTCGCATGTATAGGACGACCCCCAATTGTTTGCCTAAAAATTTGGTCTTCAAAACTCGAACTATACACGAGTATATACGGTATATATATATATATATATATATATATATATATATAATTGGTTAAAAGTAAGGAATCTTTCAGTCTCTCGAGTCTCAAATATATAAGTTGAAAAATTGGTTTATGGAACAGCAAATAGCATTTGGTGCATAAAAAAATATTGCACATTTCTATTTGTACACTTTTACCTACATAGAGAGAGTGGTTAAGGTAGAATGCTGCTCAAATGTACTGATGCAGTGCATGAAAAACATTTGCCTTACACTGCATGTTGGTTTGTCTATTCCATAAGAAAAGCACGTTAGTGACTTCTGTTACTTGTCAACATTAAGTAACAAGAATGGAAAGAAAGAAGAATACACCAATTCCCCCATTAACGTCTTTGTCAGTTTCCTGAAAGCCACGACTTTAAGTGAAACGACATTAATTGAAAACGATTTTACCTTAACCATAATGCTATAAATAGGGGTTATGTTCCTTGGGTACATTTCTGGTCAAAAATTTCTCTCAACTTGCAAGAAATGTTTCACTTTCATTACTATCACCGTCTTCTTGTTTCAAATAAACTTAGAGCTTTTGCCTGTATGGGAAGCAACAAACCTGGAAAGTGTTGTTGAATTTGATCCTTGATCCACATGTTCAGCATTCTTTCCATATTTATCATAATGCCACTTGTGTTATGAGTTTACTTTGCAGCAGATAATGGAGTAATACTTTTAGCACATGATTTAAATTTTTTTACATTCCACAAATTGTTCTTACCTACAGTTGTAGGTTGCATATTGACAGCTCGCTGTCCTTCAAATCTCTATACCACATCTAGTTTAACTTCTAATGTAACTCTTTTCCTCATTCTGTGACCACAAGCTGTAGTGGTGCACAATGCACATTTAGCATTCATTGTTCTCAGGCTCAAATAAATTTATAATTGGATTTTAAGTGAATGTTGGAAGAGCATCAAGCAACCACCGAATAATAACAAACAAATACGGCGCCCACACTGATCACTTACACAGCCAGCTGTTATCACAATCAGGCGCTGAGCACCTTCGTACCGAATTTTTAAAATTGTCATACATTTATCATTTTCATACATATTTTTTTTTCAATGACTTTATAATGAAATGGCATGTCTGAAATGATGTTAATGGGGGAATTGGTGTATTCTCATTATAGTGTACGTACTGTACAATACGGATATTCCTTCGTTAACACTACAGTATAAAGTATCGTGGCAAGTGGAATTAATTATCCTTTAGGAAATGTTGTGTTTGAGAGAGAGAGAGAGAGAGTGTGTGTGTAACAAATAAGAATGTTTTATGTGTTTGGTACAATACTTTATGTATGTACAGTATAAAGTAAATCAATGTATTCATGCAAATAATCAAAGCTCAAAATTCCAAAGTAACATCTTCACAGTCTCGGATACAGTGTGTGCCAAGATTCGAGCACTAGTTTGTGTCTAATCGCTCCATGTGTTGTTTTCACCCAACTGCTGCTGGATGAGGTGTGGTGGCATTTATTTTTATATACTACATTATTTTATTTATTATTAACTACAGAATTTTCTAGTTGCGTATGTGTAGTCTAGCTGTGTGTGTAGTTGTTGTTGCAGTGTGGACAGCTGGCTGTGGGTTTTTGACAATCTTTTAGAATTCAGCATGTGAACAGCTGTCTTGTCATATTTCTCTCATTTAAATCAACTCGACTACAGTACTGTACAGTACTTCAATTTTCAACTCTTAACAAAATAGCTTCCTTTGGTTTCTAGTCACTTGATGTTCACTTTATCTTTATGGTTGGAAGGAGTGACACTGGTAAATCATGAAAGAACAGCAAAGATTACCAAGATGTACAGTGACTGCGCTATGACCAATTGCTGTAGTGGGGAGTTTGGGGCTGCAAACAAATTTTTTCAAGGATAAATCCAGAACATGTATGTCTATTGATTGTTTTAAACTTGAAATGGATCATGCTTTGTGAAAAGTGTGACCTAGTGTAAACTTTAAATTGTGTTGTGTAAATGTGTGTTAACCAAGGAATACCTGTACACAGAAGAGTAATGGGGGAAGGTTGAATAGATAGCCATCATTAAAAATTGGAGATAAAGATAAGGCAAATTTTTTATAATCCAAAAGTTAGAAACTGAACATAGAGTAGTACAGTACAGGCAGTGTTGAGAAGCTCATTAGAGACGAACCATTTGACTGATCTACCACCGGAATGTTTGTAGAATAGTACTGTACTCTTTAAGTTGAGAGGCTTGAGGTAAACACTGCTTGGCCTTTTTGTATTATTGGCTATTAAACACTTTGTACTTGGATAAGATCTGAGAAAATGCAGTATGAAGTGAATCCTCTCCAGGGAAATACTGTGAATAACATATTGAGGCTACTCCTAACTTAATTTTATGACTTCCCTGTCCAGTAGTTAGGAGTTAATGGATTCACCCTGGGTGCTCATAACTAATGCTCCAGTTGTTTGCTGACTAAGCTAACTTGTGGCTTGACTATTGAACTTTTATAGAGAAATTGTAGCTAAGCAAATGCAGAGCTAACAAGATTTAACAGACACCGTCAATGTTCACAGTCCATGGACATGTATAGAGCAATAAGGCTTGTTCAGTATCATTCAAAACAGATATCCCCTGAAATGCTCCCTTTTCAACATTTGTCACCATCTACCCTCGCTGAAAATTTTTCAAAATGTCTAAACCTAGTTGTGTATACAGTATAAATTTATATTATTTATTTTCTGATTATGTAGCATTCCATGTATTTCAATTTTAAAATATCCTATACTGTATATGTTTATAAACTGCTGTACAGTATCTGTTTTTACTGTAATTGTTACTCTTCAGTAGCTTGTAAAGTCTTCTGATCGTCCATTGAAGAATTTGCTTAATTTTAATCTTTGTCTTTTCTTAAAAGTTTATAGATATCACACAGTAATTAATTATAGAAACTCCAGCATGTATGCTCATAGTATTTTTTCTCACAGGTACCAGAAGTTGTAAGAAAGAGACAGTACCGGGTTGGTCTCAATCTGTTTAACAAAAAGCCAGAACGAGGTGTGACATATCTTATAGGTCGTGGATTCCTTGAAAATTCTCCACAAGCTGTGGCTAAATTTCTTCTAACTCGGAAGGGTCTGAGTAAACAGATGATTGGAGAATATCTTGGGAACCTTCAGAACAACTTCAATATGGCTGTTCTTGAGTAAGTATAGAGGTTCACCTTACTTACATATTAATGTAAGTACAGTACAGTTCTGTATACATTGTGTCATCTAAGTGTACAGTACTGGTACATTATATTTATGCAGGATTTGAATGTTACATTATATTTTTTACAAACATGTACTACTCATTTAATTATACAGTAAATTATCATATATCAATTGATCATAGGAGAAACATGTACAGAAGATGTACATCCAGCTTGAAGGCCATTAATTTTAAATTTTATTTATTTCCAGGTGTTTTGCACATGACATTGACCTGTCTGGTATGCAAGTAGATGTTGCTCTTAGGAAGTTCCAAACACATTTCCGCATGCCCGGGGAAGCGCAAAAGATTGAGCGTCTTATGCAAGTATTTGCTCAACGTTACTGTCAGTGTAATAGGGACATCGTGGCTAAATTAAGAGATCCTGAAACTATATTTGTGTTGGCCTTTGCCATCATCATGCTAAATACAGATCTTCACACTGCATCTATGAAACAAGAAAAAAGAATGAAACTAGAAGATTTTATTAAGAACTTAAGAGGTAAGTCAAATGAAAGCTATTTAGCATTAAGATTTTTTCTGTACATATAGTACACTAGTACTAGCAGTGCTTTTTTTCAGATATGTAGATAGGTACAGTACATACAGTATATAAGTCTGTTTAGAATAAGTACAGTAATATCCCCATTAACCGGATTAATTGGGGCAGAGCAGTTCCGGGATTGAGAAATTTCCAGGTATGGCGACGAATGTTATCATTCCCTTTGTCCTGTAAATAACCATAGGCTTTATCATATGGCCAGCTGTGTTACCACACAACAACAGTGAGACACTGTCCTTTTCTACCTAAAATACTGACACCTGTCTCTCCTCCTTGGATATGTTTGTCCTACTCGGCATTTTATTGTACCACAATCGTTTCGTCTGCATTGAGGACTTGCTCTGGCAAATATCCATTGTCATTAATTAATTTTACAAATTCCTTGGGACACATCTGTGCAGTCACAGATGGATAATTATATTATATTATCGACAGGAATATAAAGCAATTCAAGTCTTCTATCCATATGTTTGGCTTTCTCCATCTTTATTAATACACTTGTCATGCACATACTGGGAGATTTAATAGTAATTGGTGCACAATTAACCACTGCCTGTCTAATTTCCTTTTCACTTTTCTTGATGTAGTGCACTGTAGATTCATTTACTCTGTATGCATGACTACATGCGACATAACTCCTACCATTTCTGAGTTTGTCCAATTCATTAACTTTTTCTACCAAACTTTTAACTTTTCTCCCCCTTTTGATAACTTTTGAAGTCACTAGTGGCAGGTGAAGACTGTGGAGAAGAGAGGGTCCGGAAAATTGATCAGAAACTAATTCGAATGCCCAGAATAGACATTTTTCTTGGAGTTTCTTGTAATGCTGGGTAATGGAGAGTTTCGGGGATCAAAGAATCCGGCTAATGGGGAGAGTACTGCAGCCTCCTCCCCGACTTAGGACAGGGTTAGGGACCCAAATCCAGGCGGTAAGTCGAAAATGCTTAAATAATACATAGAAAATCTAAAATGGGTGTCTTTTTCTTCTTAGCACCACAAAACTCTCACTTTTAAGCTTGCCAGTCATTTTAAAGTGATTTACAAACGAAAATTTTGTCTGTGTACTGACGTGGGACTTGAAAATACATAATATGAAAAATTTTGGTACGAATGAGGCAGGTCGTAAGTGCGGGTGGTCGCAAGTCGAGTAGGGTGTAAGTCGGGGAGGAGCTGTATACCAATATTATTTGCTTGGTTCAAGTTGATTTATATGAATTATTGCATTTCTGTGTTCTTCATTATTCTGTCAATTAATTTGGATTTCTGTAACAGTTGCTAACTGTAATCATTTGTCTGTGGGGGAAGCATCTTCCTCTCAAGCAAGGGTTACCTCATGAATGTGGAGGGGTATGTGTGGTTCATGAAACTGATAATTCTTTAATATTTGCTCATTTGGTGATTGAAAGTCAGTGTGGAGATATTTTACTGTTTCTTAATCATTTTGCCTAAAATCTAAACCAACAGCTTTCATTACCATCTTGTATTGTTATTGTACTATTAATGCTGCCGGTTAGTTACAAGACCATTGGCTAATGGTTAATTAATGGTTATATGTTACTCCAATAAAAAGAAAGGAGTGGGTGCTTTGGCATATAAACATGACAAGTATCTACTGATGCATAAGGGAATGCTTGTCATATGAATTTAACAAATTTAAGCTTTTGAATTTTACAAATCTCTTGTGTTCCTAACAGGTATTGATGACAGTTATGATATTGAACGTGAGATGTTGGAGGGAATGTATCAGCGTATTAAAGCGCAAGAGTTTCGACCAGGTCATGATCACGTTACTCAAGTTCTAAAGGTAATTGTTCAAATGTTGTATTTGACAGTGCTCCAAAAAGTACTATTTGAAGTACTGTATATATGTTTTGCAGTGTATGTAAAACTATATAATTTATTTTTGTAAAGTTTATTACTGTAGTTGCATGTCTAATGTGAAAATGAGGATAAAATTACAATGATTTATCTTTAACAGGTGCAACAGACTATGGTAGGCAAAAAGCCCAATTTGGCTCTACCTCATCGTCGACTTGTATGTTATTGTCGATTGTATGAGATTCCCGATATAACAAAGAAAGAGAGGGTTGGAGTTCACCAGCGAGAAGTCTTCCTTTTCAATGACCTTCTGGTAGTAACCAAGATTTTCTCCAAAAAGAAAAGTTCTGTAACATATACATTTAGGCAGAGCTTCCCCCTTGCTGGTCTTGCTGTTTCCGTCAAGGAAGTGCCACGTATGTACTGTACAGTGTTAGTCTGTTTAAATATCATTTGAATTGGTATAGGAAATGAAATTACTATGTTGAATGTTACCTTTCTCTACCAAAATTTAATAAGAGAAGCTAAAATAACCTACACCTGAATTTAATTATGTAAATTTTATTCCAGATTACCCTTACCTTATGGAAATTCAGCACCGTGTGGACAATAAAGTACTGATAATTTTCAATGCACGCAATGAACATGATCGTACCAAATTTTGTGAGGATTTGAAGGAAAGTGTGTGTGAAATGGATGAGATGGAATCTCTTAGAATTGAAGGGGAGCTGGAGAGACAGAAGGCATCTTTAAGAGCATCAAGACCCAGTTCTACGGCCGAGAACCGTGACTCTGGTGTAGCTGATATGGAATTACTGACTGCCAATGAAAAAAATGGAACTCTTAAAGCTGATTCTACCTTAAAGAGATCAGCTCTTAGCAATTCTCTGTTGGATATGCATGAGGCTGGTAAGTGTAATTTATCTTCTTAGGGAAGTTCCAGGTATGTACAGTATGTATTACTTTTTCCAAGAATTTGCTCACAAGAAAGTTATAGTATAGTAATGATAGCAATGAAGATTCAAATGTAATCAATTTAGTGTAATCACCTCAGAAACCCATAGTTAGCTAGTAATTAGCATTGAAAAAATTTCATTGCAAATTTCCTCGCGTCAATACGACCACTAATACCCCACAATCAATTTGTGGGCCATAGATTCAGGCTCAGCATGCTCAGGATTACAGTTCCTTTATTGAGATTTTGGGCCAAAATGGTAAGCATAATGGCTTAAATTCCAATTCCAAGAGAAAAGTATACAATATTTAAGTCCAAATATTATTAAGCCATAAGGCTTAATTTTATTGTATAACTGCTTAATGTTAAATAAAACTTATTATTTAATGATATTTAAGAAAACTTTACATGTTGGGTATTATCTGCTAGATTTTGATTACAAGTACTGTACTGTACAGTATACAGTAGTACCCCGATTTACGCGGTCAATTGAACCCACAGGGTACCGTGTAAAGTGAACAACAGAACATATGGGATTAATTCCAATAGAGACTGGCCCGACCCCCAAACTCCACTTTTTGACGACACACAACTATGTTGTAGTAAAAATATTATCTTAATTTTATGATGGTATGCACACACAATTAATAATTAAGAGAAATATCAATAATATTAATTTTTTTAACACTTACATTAGTAGAAAAGATGGCTGGGCACACGGGGATGGGGGGTTGGTTCCGAGGCAGAGGGCAGATTATTGGCCCTCACCTGTATCACTTGTATCAATTGTATCACTATCCACCACAGAGGCTTGCAGGGCCTCTTTGTCAAACCCCTCAAAGTCCATATCCTCACTATAATTATCACTATCACTGTGGCGGGTGAAGAACTCGGTAATGTTTTGATGACTGGGTGACCTTGTGCGCATCCTGCACGCGCCGCTTCCCGCATATATGAGTAGATGCACCGCGGAAAGTGAAAGTTCGGTTCTGGCGAGGCACCGCATAAATGAGAAATCGCGGAAAGTGAAACCGCGTAAAGCGGGGTAATACTGTATAGTAAATTCTGGGCAGCATTTAAAAAAAAAAGTTGGGTCTGTTATTTGGGGAATGGTGATCATCTACCACCACTATCTCTCTGATGCCACACTCCCTTCCTGTGACCAACTCCCCTCCCTCCCCCGAAGCTCCCAGTTACCTTCCCATGATCACACTACTGCGGACATAAATGATTATGTTTGGTTTTGACCTTACGATATTTTTATTTATTTATTTGTTTTATTTTTTGCACATTATGTATAAACAATTGTATGTTTAGGTAACGGAGTAAAAGAAATTGAATATAAATATTTACAGCTACTCGAAATTATGAGTTGAAAAATAACCACAACGCAACTTGAAGATTGGCCCAGTAGGGGGAGAAGTAAGGTGATGTAGCGACAGTAATTGGCGACCTGCCAAGTCCACACATACGTCATTAAGTGGGATTTACTTAGGCCTACATTACACGAGTGTAATTGACCTTACGTCAGAATGAGAGGTGCGGCTAGTCCACCTGGTTTGAAGTATTAATGTGGGGTATCGTAATTTTTAATTTGGGAATAAGCAGGGTATGCTTTACAAACATCGAATAAGGGTGTTAAAATATCTGTTGCAGATAAGCAGGGTTGCGATTGAGGAGTTGTATATAAGCAGTTCCACTACCAAAGAATTTGAGTCGCCTTCATATTGTTCTTGTCAATTAATTTTGGTGTTTATGATTTTTATTGAGTTATAGGTAAACAGTGGTGAAAGGGACACACTTGGTTATGTTTTCTGATAATCAATCCCCTTCCTTAACAAAGGTTTAGTAGCTTTAGCTCTTGACATGGCCATAAAACGATGATGTGATTCTAAGTGAAAGTAAGAATGTATGCGGCTGGTGTGATAAGTGTGATGTTGCATTGCAATAAAGCATGGGCAGTTAAAAAAGAATAACATAAGTAAACCTAAGTGACCTGTCATGAGAATGGTGAGGTGGATGTGTAATGTGACACTAAAAGATAGGAGGCCCTATTAAGAAGTAAGAGGGCAGCTGGGTATTGGTGAAGTCCTGCAAAGAGGTAGGCCGAGATTGTTTGGGCATTTGGAGAGAATGGATGAGACCCATTGGGTCAAGTGGTGGATGAGCCTAAATGTGGAGGGAAGGAGAGCCAGTTGTAGGCCAAGAATGACATGGGGAGAGGTTGTAAGAAATGACGAGAGACACTACAAGAGACCTTGCAGCATGGAGAACTGCCATCAGGTAACTGTGGCTAACCCACATAAGTGTGGAAAATGGCCATAAAATGATGATGATTATCCTAGGGAATGTGCTGGTTTGGAATAAATTGTTTTGCAGAACGTTGTTGTATCTTTTTGAGTGAAAGATACGTTGTTAAGAGATTGGACATGGAAGATCAAGGAATATGCATACACTATTTTGAAAGGAGTTCAGTAGTATTTGATGAGGGATGCTATGCCTGCCTCCTTGAAGCTCTACCAACCCTTAAGCGGTCATTGCAGCTTGGAGTCAGAGCAGAAATGCTTCAGCAATTTGGAGTGATGGGCATGTATCAAATTTTTTATTCCCACAACTAGACATGCTGAAGATGAGTGGAAGGATAGTAGTATGCCTGTACAATGGAAGGAAGTTATGTTAATATTTTGAGTGTTGGAACCCTTGACATTGGCCTTGGTTGATGTGATTAGAGATACCTTAACATACAACAAAATTCTTTTGAGTGTTGGAATTAGGGTGTGGGATGTGGATGTAATTAAATTAAAATGTTGACCAGAATATACTGCAGGTTATAATATCATTAATTCATAAGGTTTATTTCATAACAATTCATACCAGTAACTGTTTAGTACACTAGCCTTATGTTCTAAATTAAGTAGTGTAAGTTTTGGTTCCCAAAGCACTTGTACTGCTCACCCCCTCACCAGGGGCCACACTGCCACTGCACCCACCCACTGTAATTATTGTATTTTGCATTACCATCACAGCAGTAAATTTTGTGAAAAAGTAGATACTGCATTTGCACAGTTGTAACACAGTTGCACAGCTTTGTATATTGATTTACTTTGTTTTTCCTAATTTATTCTTAACTGAACCCATTTGCTGTACATTAAAAAAAAAAATATCCCTGCAAAAGTGTTTCATGAAATTTGGTTTTTAACACATTGATTTACCTACCCTGAGTGACTTCATTAATTCTTTAAAATTAGTTGTGCAATAAAGTTAAAAGATTGTTGACATTAAATGTAAATCAATTGGGTTTAAATGATTTAAGTGAATTCTGAGGTGGTGAAAGTGGTGGTGTGGTTCACAGAAGGTGTTGGGCAGACATTGCGTCGGGGCAGTGTGGGCTCCCTCGATTCTGGCATGTCTGTCTCCTTCCAGTCCACTAGTGCCTCCAATGAAACTTCTCCTGCAAGTGGGCCTCCTGGGGGTGTTCATCAACTCCTCATACCCAGCACCTCCCATGGAGACCTCCATCAACACCATCTACAACGGCGTACAATGACCTCCAATTCTTCCTTCCTTGGTCAACTGTTTCGTCCACGCAGAGTCTCACGCACTGAGCTAAATACGGCTGGAGTGGAGGTGTGACAGTAATGTAATCAACCTCAGTTTTCATCTTCCACACAGGGAATAGATGATCTTGGGCAAAGTCAGGTTGTATCTAGCCATATTCTAGTCTTTCAAGTGTACACACAAGCATTCCAAATGGATCAGAGTGAAGATGAAGCTGCCCAGACCATCTGTTCTGTAACTTGCCCTGCGTACCTCATACCATGTATGTGTGCAAAGGCATTGGTACTTATGTAAGTAGTAGAAAAGGTAAAACCAAACAAATTATACAGTGCCATTTAGTCAGATGTAGTCACACATATATATCCTTGTGTAAAATATGATGTATATAAGTCATGTTGAATTAATAATCTGTGTAATATATACCTAATCCCACAGTTAATAAATATAACCCAGAAATGAGACTTCCGTTGTCTCCAGGCATTTTAGCATAGCATCTGCTAGTCTAAAGATACAGTATCAGGATTTCAAGAGATATCCAGAATATAGTTATAATTTTATTCAGTGTAATGTGTGCACAACAGTTAATACAAATAGCAAGATACAGTTTAGCTCAATATAAACTGTATACTTCCCTGTGGAATTGACCTCTAGTCAGCACACGGATAATTCTGTCATATATCTGATGCTTCTAGACAAGTGTTGAACTGGCTTAATTTTGTGCAGTGTACCAGATTACTGATATTACCATAAAACAAACTCACTTATAACTTTGTACATATGGGATATATTGTTATAATTTTGTCAGCTTGACAATTACAGGCTGTCTTTCTATGACAAATAAAGATTATGATGCAAAAATCACTCCCCTTTGTAATCCTGTTGCTGTTGGAACCAAAAAAAAAAAAATTTTACTATATATATATATATATAATATATATATAGAGAGAGAGAGAGAGAGAGAGAGAATCTACTTTTTGAGAAAGTAGACTATCAACTTTTTGGGAAATATTACCTAATTTTCCGAAGTAGATTATCATAGAAAACGGGAAATTTGTATCACAGAAAATGGGAAGTTGGTTATCTACTTTCCTGAAAAGTAGATTATCTACTTTTCGGGAAAGTAGATTATCGATTTTTTGGGAAGTAGATTATCGACTTTTGGGGAAATATCACCTAATTTTGCAAAGTATTTTATCATAGAAAATGGGAAATTTGTATCACAGAAAATGGGAAATATCTACTTTCTGGGGAAGTTGGTTATCTACTTATCATAGAAAATGGGAAATTTGTATCAGAAAATGGGAAATATCTACTTTCCAGGAAAGTTGGTTATCTACTTTCCCAAAAAGTAGATTATCTACTTTTCAGGAAAGTAGATTATCGATTTTTTGGGAAGTAGATTATCGACTTTTGGGGAAACATTACCTAATTTTGCAAAGTATTTTATCATAGAAAACGGGAAATTTGTATCACAGAAAACAGGAAATATCTACTTTCTGGGGAAGTTGGTTATCTACTTATCATAGAAAATGGAAAATTTGTATCATAGAAAATGGGAAATATCTACTTTCCAGGAAAGTTGGTTATCTACTTTCCTGAAAAGTAGATTATCTACTTTTCGGGAAAGTAGATTATCGACTTTTCGTGGCAGTAGATTATCGACTTTTGGGGAAATATTACCTAATTTTGCAAAGTAGATTATCATAGAAAACGGGAAATTTGTACCACAGAAAATGGGAAATGTCTACTTTCTGGGAAAGTTGGTTATCTACTTGTCATAGAAAATGGGAAATTTATATCATAGAAAATGGGAAATATCTACTTTCCAGGAAAGTTGGTTATCTACTTTCCCAAAAAGTAGATTATCTACTTTTCAGGAAAGTAGATTATCGATTTTTTGGGAAGTAGATTATCGACTTTTGGGGAAACATTACCTAATTTTGCAAAGTATTTTATCATAGAAAACGGGAAATTTGTATCACAGAAAACGGGAAATATCTACTTTCTGGGGAAGTTGGTTATCTACTTATCATAGAAAATGGGAAATATCTACTTTCCAGGAAAGTTGGTTATCTACTTTCCTGAAAAGTAGATTATCTGCTTTTCGGGAAAGTAGATTATCGACTTTTCGGGGCAGTAGATTATCGACTTTTGGGGAAATATTACCTAATTTTGCAAAGTAGATTATCATAGAAAACGGGAAATTTGTACCACAGAAAATGGGAAATGTCTACTTTCTGGGAAAGTTGGTTATCTACTTATCATAGAAAATGGGAAATTTATATCATAGAAAATGGGAAATATCTACTTTACTGGAAAGTTGGTTATCTACTTTCCTGAAAAGTAGATAATCTACTTTTTGGGAAAGTAGATTATCGATTTTTTTGGGAAGTAAATTATCGACTTTAGGGGAAATATCACCTAATTTTGCAAATTATTTTATCATAGAAAACGGGAAATTTGTATCACAGAAAACGGGAAATATCTACTTTCTGGGAAAGTTGGTTATCTACTTATCATAGAAAATGGGAAATTTATATCATAGAAAATGGGAAATATCTACTTTACTGGAAAGTTGGTTATCTACTTTCCCAAAAAGTAGATTATCTACTTTTCGGGAAAGTAGATTATCGATTTTTTGGGAAGTAGATTATCGACTTCTGGGGAAACATAACCTAATTTTGCAAAGTATTTTATCATAGAAAATGGGAAATTTGTATCACAGAAAATGGGAAATATCTACTTTCTGGGAAAGTTGGTTATCTACTTATCATAGAAGATGGGAAATTTATATCATAGAAAATGGGAAATATCTACTTTCCGGGAAAGTTGGTTATCTACTTTTCCGAAAAGTAGATTATCTACTTTTCGAGAAAGTAGATTATCAATTTTTGGGGAAATATTACCTAATTTTCCGAAATAGATTTTCATAGAAAATGGGAAATTTGTATCATAGAAAATGGGAAATATCTACTTTCCCGAAAAGTAGCTTATCTACTTTTTGAGAAAGTAGATTATCAATTTTGGGGGAAATATTACCTAATTTTCCGAAATAGATTATCATAGAAAATGGGAAATATCTACTTTACTGGAAAGTAGATTAACGACTTTTGGGGAAATATTACCTAATTTTGCGAAGTAGACTATAAGTAGATAACCAACTATCCCAGAAAGTAGATATTTCCCATTTTGTGATACAAATTTCCCGTTTTCTATGATAATCTACTTCGCAAAATTAGGCAATATTTCCCGAAAAGTCGATTATCTACTTCCCCGAAAAGTCGATAATCTACTTTCCCGAAAAGTAGATAATCTACTTTTCGGAAAAGTAGATAACCAACTTTCCCGGAAAGTAGATATTTCCCATTTTCTATGATACCAAATTTTCCGTTTTCTGTGATAATCTACTTCACAAAATTAGGCAATATTTCCCCAAAGTCGATAATACTTTCCCGAAACAACTTTCCCGGAAAGTAGATATTTCCCATTTCTATGATATAAATTTCCCATCTTCTATGATAAGTAGATAACCAACTTTCCCAGAAAGTAGATATTTCCCATTTTCTGTGATACAAATTTCCCATTTTCTATGATAATCTGCTTTGGACAATATGTTAATATCCCCCAAAAAGTCGATAATGTACTTCCACGAAAAGTCGAAAATCTACTTTACCGAAAAGTAGATAATCTACTTTTCGGGAAAGTAGATAACCAACTTTCCCGGAAAGTAGATATTTCCCATTTTCTATGATACAAATTTCCCGTTTTCTATGATAATCTGCTTTGGAAAATATGTTAATATCCCCCAAAAAGTCGATAATGTACTTCCACGAAAAGTCGAAAATCTACTTTACCGAAAAGTAGATAATCTGCTTTTTGGAAAATGAATAATAACTTTCCCAGGAAATTAGATATTTCCCATTTTTCAATGACACAAATTTCCATTTCCTATGATAAGTGAATAACCAACTTTCCCAGAAAGTAGATATTTCCCATTTTTTTCTGTGATACAAATTTCTCATTTTTATGATAATCCTACTTCGGAGAAAATTAGGTAGATTTCCCAAAAGTCGATAATCTACTTCCCCTCAAAAGTCGATAACACTGGGCTGCATTTGAAAAAAAATTCATGAGGTGCGGGGTTTCTTAGCTGATTCTTTATGTATTTTGCGTGCTGATTCCAAAAATGCCATTCATTTTGCCCAATCAGGTCAGATTTTTATGCTATGGGAATTAGGAAAAAATCAAAATTCTTAAATATGATGTCAAAATTTTTATGCAAAATATATCATAAGAAATGTAACCACAACACATAGGACCAAAATATGTCAACTACATAGATGCCTTTACAGTTAGACATGCATAAATGGCTGTCGCAGAGAATTTCTTTGGTGGTTGGTGTCTGGGGCGTCCCGTTTCAGACACCAACAGTAGTCGGCGAGCATGTTGATATCCCAGCGACCCTGGTACCGCTCCTCCATTACACGGATATCTTGATGGAAGCGTTCTCCTTGTTCCTCACTCACATCACCACAGTTCTCTGGAAAGTAGTCCAAGTGGGAGCTGAGGAAGTGCATCTTGATGGACATGCGTGCACCAAGAACTTTGTAGCTCAGAAGTAGGTCCTCAACAACTCGTTCATACTCTGGACTTCTGTAGTTGCCAAGAAAATTGGAGATAATAGACTTAAAGGCATGCCAGGCTTTCTTCTCATTTACATCCATGCTGCAATCAAGCTTGGGATCTTTGAAAAGCTCTCTGATCTGAGGGCCATCAAAAATTCCTGCATTCAGCTTTGCCTCACTGACTTTTGGAAATTTTTCTTTCAGAAAATTGAAAGCCTGGCTTTTTTTGTCCAGTGCCTTTACAAAGTTTTTGAACAGACCGAGCTTGATGTGCAGTGGCGGAAGAAGAATGTTCTGCGGATTCACCAGAGCATGGGCAACAACATTGTGAGAACCTGGAGTAAGTCCACTTCTTGCAGGCCAGTCACGTTGCATGTAGTGCTGCTTGTCTGCTCGACTATCCCACAGACAGAGGAAACATGCCATGTACCACCAGATGAAAAAGAAATTTAATTGTGAAAAAATATATGTAAAAAAACACGGACATATACTCTTTTCCTTTGCGTCACGGCGGACATTTAAATGGCCGGCGAGCACGTGGGTGTATTTAAATGCATCGTAAGGGCATTAAAACTGACCGAAATCTTTTCTGTGAGGCTTGCCAATGTCTCGGATGATTTTTTTAATGAACGAATATGAGGACCCCATTTTGAGCGAAAAATGCCAATATTTTACCTGAATCTCCGCTTAAAATGCTATAGCACAAAATTCTGACCTGATTGAGCAAAATGGATAACATTTTTGAGATCAGCATGCAAAATACACCCAGAAAAGCTTAATAATACACAAACCTCAAAAACTATGCAGGGCAGTGTAATCTACTTTCTCGAAAAGTAGATAATCTTCTTTTTGGGAAAGTAGATAACCAACTTTCCCGGAAAGTAGATATTTCCCATTTTCCATGATACAAATTTCCCGTTTTCTATGGTAATCTATTTCGGAAAATTAGGGAATATTTCCCAAAAAGTTACATATATCGAACCAAAAATAATAGTTGAAAACTTTATGTAGACAGAGCTTGGATGGCTAAATTTTAGAATGACCAATAATTATATTATAAAAAATGCACAAAAATTAGAGCACAATATTCTTGATATTTACTTCACTGGAAACGAATGTAAACATAGAACAGATTACTGAATTGGCAGACTAGCCCATCAGCTGATGCTCAACAAAATATATATATATATATATATATATATATATATATATATATATATATATATAATTAATTCAGAATTTAATGAAAGTTCAAGACATGTCGTTGATCTGTGATTTTATTAGAAGTTTTGTACAAGAAATATACTGTATATTAAAAGGAGCTTACCATATTATGTTTTACCACGCAGGAGGAACAATGCTAGTTCTTCCTGCTCATTCATCGGCAGAGCTTCAAGAGTATTGGCTTGCTCTAGCCTTGCACGTTTGGCCTCACGTGCTCTGTCCCGAGCACGTCTCTTTCCACTGAAAATAATAGACATTGAAAAGTTTGTCTTGCCAAATGGCAATTACTTAATGAGTAAACATGACATGTTAATATGCCACAATCCGATCTTTGCAATCAACTAAGGTTACACCTTACTAAACTTAAACATAAAAATATTTGAAACAATTAGATATAATATACAGTACAGTAACTGCTATTTGACTACTAACACAAATTTAAACGTGATTAATAAAACCCATATTATTCCCCCATAACCTTCCTGGAACCTATCATTAATTTGCTGATAAAAAACTTCAAGTCAAATATTACGTAATATTTCTTTCCCATAAAATTAACACATGAAGACCCATAAGGACATGACAGGCAGTTTTAAGTCTAACAAGACTCACTGAGTTATATTTTGACTGTCCATCCAAATACTGTACAGTACTTGTATCAAATATTTATTCTCATTTTTACAACCAAGTGGGATTAAGCCCTTTTGGTAGTAAAGGAGATTCTATCCCAATGATATGTACTTACTCCCATCCCCAATTCAATGGCTGGTTAGGGTAGGTTAGTTCTAACAACAAAAGTTAGTTCTGGGGATGCAAATACTTTACATAACTGGCCAAAAATGTGGAATTATACAGGTATTCGAACTGTTCAGAATATTTGGGCTTAACAGTCTGGGGTCCCAAATATATCTGGATAGCAATTTTGAATAAAGTTAAATATGAACATTGGACAACATAGGAAGACGACAAATGAACGAAATAAGGAACAATTTCACATGTGGCAATGTCGTGTAGACTAGACTGGTGGGCAATTTACCGAGTTTCACCAATGAGAACAAAGAAGTAACTAAACCTGACAGACAATCCAGTTTGAAGGACCATTTAATGACAGCAACATAAACTATTCTTGGACTGTTTCACTACAACTTTCTGTCACATAATTTCTAGACAACCCCACTTTAAACAATACACTTAAACTACCACAAAGAATTGTCTTAATTATCGAATTATAAATGTAATTATAAGGGTACTCAGGTGCCTAGAAGACATGAATTCTTCCACAGCTGGCAGTGTTTTCCAAACAACTGTTCTAAACAACAGGAGAATGACAACTGACTCCACCAGAATTTGCCAGATGCTATGTCATGAAAAAAACACAGACACTTACAGCAATACTGTATTCAAATCCTCTCACAAGCAAAAACTATGACACCAAATACATTAAAAAGTGCAGCATGAAAAATCAGCAAAGCAAAGAAAATTATATATATATATATATATATATATATATATATATATATATATATATATATATATATATATATATATATATATATATATATATATATATATATATATATATATATATATATATATAAATAAATAAATAAATAAATAAATAAATAAACATATATATATATATATATATATATATATATATATATATATATATATATATATATATATATATATATATATATATATATATATATATATATATATATATATATATATATATATACACACACACACACACAGTGGGGTATGCTATAACGAATCTAATTGGTTCTAGAACCTTGTTCGTTATAGCATTCGTTCGTTATAGGATTAATCCGTTCCAGGCCCCCAAATACAACCACTTAACACTGAAAAATGTAATATAAAATTTTAAAAATTGTAAAAAAAGTGCATAAATATGCATCTAAACCCCTGAAATAAAGAATGTCATTAATACTTGTAATACAAATACAATAAATTAGAAAAAAAAAATTAAATAATGTTCACTGTAGGAGTTTCGTTCGTTATAGCATTCTCAATTTTATAAGTAAAACCGTTCGTTATAGGAATATTCGTAGTAGGATCCGTTCGTTATAGCATATCCCACTGTGTGTATATACATATATATATACAGTACATGAAGCAGTTAAACAAAATCGGTATTTCAACCGGTATTTTTCTTAAAGTTTGTACTACAGTAGTACATTGATATCTCTATTAACCGTAATAATTAGTGCAAAGTTATTCTGGGAATGAATGATTTTCGGGTACTGGGGTAAGTTTTCCTGGAGACTAAACTACACATCTCACAAGGACAGACACTATCTCACATCCCCGGAAAGTTTTCTGAGAGTAAACTACACATCTCACAAGGACAGACACTATCTCACATCCCCGGAAAGTTTTCTGAGACTAAACTACACATCTCACAAGGACAGACACTATCTCACATCCCCGGAAAGTTTTCTGAGAGTAAACTACACATCTCACAAGGACAGACACTATCTCACATCCCCAGAAAGTTTTCTGAGAGTAAACTACACATCTCACAAGGACAGACATAGCTGTATTTAATTACACAAACACCACTGTATGCATATAACACAGGTACTGTATATTGTAAATGAACAAAATATTATATATTACTGTAGTGTACAGTATATACTGGACTGTACTCGCCAGCAGATACTGTCGCCTTGAGCTTGTGAAGCAGGTAAGCCAAATGGTGATAAGATGACAGGATGGCCTGTACCATCTACTGTAGCAGGTGTTAATAACTGTCACCCTCCTTTCCCTCCATGAAGGAGGGATTTTACATGCACTGTATACTATACATAGTACATACATCTCTACACTCCAGTAGGCATACATTGTCCACTGCTAAATGTACTGTACAGTACAGCATATGTAACTAATAACATTTTACATCTTAACAATGCTTTGACTAAATATTCTTTGCTGATTGTGTAGAACAGTAATTGTATGCAAAAACAGCAGAGAGCAAGAGATCAACCTTGTAAAACAGCAGCAATATGTGATCTAAGTGTGTGAGCCTTTGGTCTAAGTTACCGAAGCAGCTAACCCATATTTTTTTAAGGTTCTCTGATGGATCAGGCAAAGTACAACTTGTATATTTGAGTAATCAGAACCTCAAAGACCTTACCAGTAAGACTGATAGAGTGTGGATGATAAGTTTTGAAACTAAGTTAATGTTACTGACTGAACAAGCAGTCAAAGAATTATATGATACTCACCTAATCTTGGGCATTTCCTCTTCTTCAGACTCGCTCACTTCACTGCTACTCTCCCCATCACTACTGTGCGAGTCATACTTGTTAATCTCTTCTCCATCTTCTAAATCATTGCTGTAATACTTATCTGGGTCTGGTAATTCATCAATGATATTTTGAGTGACATCATCAACATCACTGTCATCATCTTGGTCATCATCTTTTTCTTCTTCCTCCCCCTCCTCTTCATCTTCCTTATTACCAGATCTTTTTGCCTTCTCTTTTTTCTTTTTTATTCTGTAAATATTAATACATATAGATCATACTCTTCATGCAAAATTTTCCTAAGATCATCACTAAAACCACCAACATACAACATAAATCATCAATATTTGAAAATTTTATGACATATTGCCTTCAATTTCACTGTACTGTACATGTAAGTGCATACTATATGATTTATCTACTATATTTACACCTTTCTCATGTCTCTGAAGGGTGTATTAATAATTTAATAAACAAACATGGGAGATAATGGTTGAGGATGATTAATAGATTGATTGTGGTAATTACATTCCTGGCAACGCAACAGCTTAGATCATATGTTGCCAAATTAAAAGTTTAGAAGACTAAAACCAATTAATGCAAGATAAAAAACATAATAGATAGCACAAAACTTTTGTAAAAACACTTAAACATTAATAGACAAATCTCAAAGCTTGTGTAGAAGGCTGGCTTCCTCCACGAAGGAGAGGACGTCCCCTCCCACATTACTCACTCTCTCCCAGCACCAGAGACGATAAGACCCGTCTCTCTCCTGGCACTGGGAAAGGTGCTTATGATGATGATCTCTGAGACTGGGGCACTCTACCAGGAGGTGTCGAACAGTCAATAGGAACCAGGCAGTAATCACAATGGGGGAAGGGATGCCCACTCCATTAAAAAACCATGAGTCAGCCATGTGTGGCCAATGCGAAGGCGGGCCAAAGCAGTCTCCCAGCGTTGCAACAATCCCTGATATCCCCAGCCGCCCAAAGCAAGGGTGGATGTCGTGGAGCAGGGCCGTCCCTAGGAGGGTGCGGGGCCCGGGGCAACTCAGCCACTCCGGGGCCCCTGATTATGCGGTCAGAGGAACCCACCCCCACCAACCCCCATGGGGCTGTCGCTATGGATGGTAAGGTCACGGTTGCGATGGTGGCGTAAGCCGTCAGGTCAGATTAACCAGTCAACAGGTAATGTGTCCGAGGTCACTGGGTCAAGCGCTGGGCCCCGCGGGGCCCCGGGCGGTCGCCCCCCCTAAAGGACGGGCCTGTCGTGGAGCATTCCACCTGCATTGCCAACTCAAGTGGATGGCAGCTTCATATCAGAGGCAGGTAGAGGGGATTGATGTGCCAGAGGACAAGAAGCAGCTGCTTTCACAACAGCTCATTCCCTGATGTCTTTAGCAGCCCAGTGGACAATGATGATGCCGCAGGTTTGGTGTGCCCAGATTTAGGGGGGTGGGGGCTGTTGGTATCCAGGGTCACCCACCCAGACTTAAAAAAAATCTTTAGACCCACAAGATCAAGGTCCTGTGGTTGACTGGCTCCTGCTGTTGCTGGCATTTTGGCAGGAACCTTTGTAAAGTCCTCCGACTGTGAATCAGTCAGTGACTCTTGAGGAGGGAGCTTTGACAGAAGCCAACATCCTATTAGCCCCAAGGATCCTCTTGATGATCCGGTGGGCTGAGCCTTTGGGGGGAATGTCCCCTCTAAAGATTCTTCACTATGATTCCCTTTGTTGCCCAGACATTCTTCCTTTTGAGAGAAAGCGACTGATGGAGTGGGCATCTGAAATTCATTTATCTAAGGTGTGGATAGTATATTAACTAATGATGTTTACCTGGGTGGCTGGAAACTTAGTTTTAACTCACCTGGTGCAGTTTCTACTCACCATGACCTGGGAAATGGAATTGTCCATTCCTGCATGTAATAAACCTCAAGAGATATATTTACCTATTCTTTTCTTTGAGTTTCTCTGCGTGTAGCTTTTTATCATAATGATCTTCCTCCTTCATGATCTCCTGAAGTCTGGCAATGTTGATACCACTGGTTTCTTGTTCACCAAGCCTTCTAGCAGCCTGTGACACCTGCAACATACAACATTAAAATTTTTGTAATAAATCAGGTTATTTCTTTTTTAAATGCAGCGTATATGAAGTAATTTTCTGCTTCCTTAACCACCGGCAGGAAGCTGTTTGTCAAGTTCACACCATGGAGCCTTGACAAAATCTCCTCTAGTGAACATTTGCATCATACAGTAGTACAGGGGCTCCTCTACTTACGAACGAGTTACGTTCCTCAGGCTTGTTTCTAAGTCCAACTTTACTCTTGTAGATACCAAACATATTGTAAAAAATGAAAAGATTATGGATATTTAGTACAGCTATACCCTTTAATACAGCCTTAAAACCTGGCTCACTCTTCTCCTCTTAGGTAATGTTTGTTCTATCTGGAATTTTCTTCAAAACAATCCAGTCTCATCCACATTAAACACCTGTTCTGGCAGGTAACCCCCTCAGTGATGATGTTTGTATCTCTGAAAATTTGTAAGTTGAACGTTCTTAAGTAGAGGAACACCTGTAATATACAGTGATACACACGTTAGCTGGAATAATCGGTGCAGAGCAGTTCCAGGATTAAGAGATTTCCGGGCATGGAGATGAATTATCTCATCCCCTGAAAAAAATCACACGTCCCTGGAATTTTTTCCGGGTGCAAGGGAAAATTTTCCGAGAGTCTTTATATTTCGCATCTCGCACGGACAGACACAGAACTGTATTTATTAATGCAAACACCACAGTTCATGTACGGTAGCTATCTGTGTAGCTGGGGTCGATATGCTCTGAAATTTTACGTGTGACTAGTGACAGCCCTCATCTACCAAAATTTATCGTCCATGGTCTCATATTGTTTCCTGCAAAGTAGGCACAGATAGTTGTTTTAGCAACTACATATATTGTAAATTAACAAAATATACTACTGTATACATTATGCTGCTGTCTTGAGCTTGTGATGCAGGCAGGCCAAATGGTGATATTATGATACAGGATGGCCTGCCTTAGTCCTGCACAATCTCCTGTAGCAAGGGTTGCTAATTGTCACTCTGTCCTCCCTCCAATAAGAAGGGATTGTACACAAGCCTACATTAGGCATACACTGTCCACTCTGCTATGTACAATACTGTACAGGAATACCCCAGTTACTGCCTTCTTAAAAGTCATTAAAATTAATGAAACTGCAAATATCAGAGCAATTTTCCCCAGTCGTTCTTTAGATTGCCAAGTTCCAACTGGGCTGCCGCTTTCTTCTTGCAGAACGTATCAGCCTTGGTCCGAGACTGAGGGTTGTTCTGCCGGTCAGTAAAAGGAGCACGCGTATCATCGATGAGTACTTTGATTGCTGGGTCATTTTCATCAAACCAGTCCTGGTGTATTCTTTTGATCTGGCTGAGGGTCTCTCTGCAGGTTTTAGTCATAACAGTATTAAGAGTATCCCATTTGGCACTGGGATTCACGTTGTTTGCTGTTGGGTTATTTATAAGCCCATGTTCGAGCTGCTCTCTGAAAGCATGTGCTACTGTTGTATCCTCCAGACGCTTAGTATTAAAACCTCTTCTGGAGGCTTGGTGCCTTCACCGTTTTGAGGCAACATGAAGTGAGCTTGGATCTGAAGAGTCGATGATGAGTGTCACAGTGGTCTGAGCCACGCATGGCATGGGTGATGAGGACATCTCGGCGATTCTTTCTCTGAGTGATGTACTCAATGAGATGCCAGTGTTTGGATTGTGGGTGTTGCCACGAACCCTTGAACTTGCCGGCCTGCCTAAACAAGGTATTGGTGATAGTGAGATTGTGTGCAACACACTTGCTGAGGAGGAGTAGGCCGTTGGGATTACACTTGCCTAGTTCATTTCTCCCTATGGTTCCCTGCCAACTCTGGCAATGAAGTCGCCAAGGAGCACACCCTTGTCTTCTCTGGGGATAGAGGTTAGCACTCTGTCGAGGTCAGCGTAAAAGGCCTCCTTGAAGTCATCCTCTGCATCCAGTGTTGGGGCGTATGCACTGATGAAGAAGGCATGACACGAGGGATTCAGTGGGACTCGAAGCACCATGAGGCGCTCGTTGATCCCAATAGGCATTTCAGTTAGCCTGTGTAGGATGTGTTGGCAGATGGCAAAGCCAACTCCATAAATTCGGTTTCTCTCCACAGGAGGCTTACCATTCCAGAAGAAGTTGTAGCAAGACCCCTGTTCTGTGAGTTGGCCCTCATCTGGGAGCCGGGACTCACTGATGGCTCTTATGTCGATGTTATACTTAGCCAGCTCTTTTGCCACAAGGGCAGTTCTTCTTTCAGGATGCGCATTTGTGCCAGTATCCAGAAGGGTCCTGACACCCTACACCACCCACAGACCCCTACACCACCCACAGACCCCTACACCACCCACAGACCCCTACACCACCCACAGACCTCTACACCACCCACAGACCCTACACCACCCACAGACCTCTACAACACCCACAGACCCTACACCACCCAGACCCTACACCACCCACAGGCCCTACACAACCACAGACTACACCACCCACAGACCTCTACACCACCCCACAGACCTCTACACCACCCACAGACCCCTAGCACCCACAGACCCCTACAACACCCACAGACCTCTACACCACCACACAGACCCTTACACCACCCACAGACCCTACACCACCCACAGACCCCTACACCACCCACAGACCCCATATATCACCTAGTCTCTACATCACCCACAGGCCCTACAACACCCCACAGACCCCCTACCACCACCCCACAGACCCGCTATATCACCCACAGACCTCTACACCCACAGACCCCTACACCACCCTGGACCTCTACACCACCCCACAGACACCTACACCACCCCACAGACACCTCACCCCACAGGCCCCTACACCAACCACAGGCCCTACACCACCCACAGGCCCCTACACCACCACAGACCCCCAGCACCACCCACAGACCCCTAAAACACCCACAGGCCCCTACATCACCCACAGGCCCTACATCACCCACAGACCCCCTACACCACCCCACAGGCCCTACACCACCCACAGACCCCTACATCACCCACAGACCCATACACCACCCACAGACCCCTATGCCACCCACAGGCCCTACACCACCCCACAGACCCCTTACCACCACCCCACAGACCCCTACACACCACCCTGAACCCCTACACCCACAGACCCTACATCACCCACAGACCCTACACCACCTGAGCCACAACACCACCCCAGACTACACACCCCACAGGCCCTACATAACACCATCTGTGAGAGTACTACACCACGTGAGCCCCTCATAACACACCATCTGTGAAATTACTACACACATGAGGCCTCATAACACCATCTGTGAGGTACACCACGTGAGGCCCTCATACTTAGAATTACTACACCACGTGGGGGCCCTCATAACACCATCTGTGAGGAGTGCACGTGAGGCCCTCATACACCATCTGTGACCTACCGCGTGAGGCCCCTCATAACACCATCTGTGAGGGGATTACTACACCACGTGAGGCCTCTCATAACACCATCTGTGAGGGAATTACTACACCACGTGAGGCCCCTCATAACACCATCTGTGAGGGAACTACTACACCACGTGAGGTCCCTCCTAACACCATCTGGGAGGGAGTTACTACACTATGTTTTTGCTGTTCAACACCTACAATAATCTGTATATTCACTGTATGTTCCTTCACCTTTCTCTAATGAAGGCTTTTGTTAAACCACCAATGTATGTAATAAGTCATTTATGTCCAATGTATATTTTCAGCCTTCGGGCTGCAGAACTTTTTCAATAAACCGTCAATTATTATTATTTACATCACCCACAGACCCCTACATCACCCACAGACTCCTACACCACCCACAGACCCCAACACACACACACTCCAACATCACCCACAGACCCATACATCACCCACAGACCCCTACATCACCCACAGACCCCTACATCACCCACAGACTCCTACACCACCCACAGACCCCAACACACACACACACTCCAACATCACCCACAGACCCCTACACCAGCCACACACATGGCTGAAGAATATTGTATTGGCTGGGTGCACTGGACCATAACTAAGTTTACAATATCAATAAATGAAGCATTTGTGGGAAGGATCAAGCTCCTTGCTTTAGCTTAAGTCCATAAAAGTGTAAATGGGTTGGATTTGGGAAACAAGAACAAAACTAAATACGTACATCAATAATATAATATCATATTCACCTATTTTTTTATATTATGTCTGCCATCTTACACATACAGTATATTTAGATCTTGCCAGAAGCTAAGAAAAGGACTGTTCTTGAAGGAGAACGTAAAGATTAATGTTTTGACACCTAAGCCCCAAAAAAGGGTTCAGGTTCATCAAGATTAGAGTAAATGACAGAATAAGCCTACAGAGATGCAAAGACTTGGGTTTGTTAAGTCACGTGATACTCGCCACTGACCCTTCATCCCCAATATACAGTAGGCCCTTCGAAGAGTCCAATGGGAGATCTGCCAGACAATTCTAACAAGATGCATGAGGTAAATAAACCTATTGCACAAAAAAAAAACCCTGACCTTTGATCTACTGATCAACAAGGAGTTTCCATTCCCTAGGAGCAAGAAATCTAATTAGTATCATGTTTCTCAGTGTATGAACTCAAGAAACCAAAATTTTATTCCTTGCAAAAATGATCTAATCTACGTAGTGAAACTTTAAAATTGTAAAAATTAAAACATAATACGTACAGTATACATCAGTAAAAAAAAATATAGCATCTGTGTGATGGAGTTAAAAAGCATTCTTGAGGTACACAACAGAAATTAACTTTACCTGTTCCTTGGCAGGGTCCAATACCATTTCACCTTCATCATCAAATACCACTCTTTGATTAAGTTGCAAATTCTTTTTCAGAAGTTTCTTGATTACCGCTACCTTGGTCACAGGCTTCTTCTTGGGATTTAATTTTGGTCCATCCTGAGTAGCATTGAGGTCTGGCTCCTCCAAACTATCTTCAACAATAACACTGTCTTGTGTTTTGGAGCTACTGAGGAATTCCTCATCATCATCATCAGAGTCATCTGTTGATAATGTAATGCACCAAATAAGAAACTGTAACTGCTCCATTAAGATACAGAGAAAGCTTGCAGGTAGCAAAACTGCCAGATAAAATAAAGAGGCCCTCTTAGACTGAAGGTACTTTCCTTTAGCCATTCAAACTTTTAAAGAAATCCATCTACCTCATGAAACATGATGAGTTTTTACTTGAAAAGATTCAGGGCAACGTGAGTGTAAACTTCAAATCCGTAAATCCCAACTGAAGAAGACGCCAATGGTCTTTAAAATTGAACAGTACAGTATTACCTAAACACATATTACTGTTTCCATCTTTTGATGTGAGTTTGACTTATATGCTGATTATTTGGCTTTCAACAAGCTATAGGTATTGCATAACATCAATTTTGCAGGAGAAAGAAGCCCGTAAAGGGATATTTTTCAGCATAAAGACTCAGGGAGGCAGATAAGTCAGGGGTCAGGAGGTCCTGGGACAGTGGTACCATAAAGGGTGAAAATCTTTATTAAAAAAACAATGGCATTTATACTGTACTCTATGTTCAATACAGTACAACAATTACAGATTAAATTTGCATAAAAAGGGAGTTTAGGGGCACAGCCTTTCTCTAAGTTTTGTGCACTAGTGAGCTTTATGTAATCCCATGAGCATCATTTATTAAGCACCAAAGAAAAGAAAATCTAATGGTTCACAAACTAATGACATCAATTGCGGCCTAACATAAAATGTATAAGTATCGTATGTAACTCAAAGTACAATTATAAAACACATAATAAAAATATTAGCCCTACCTGCTCCAAAGTCTAGTGTGGTGAGCTTAGGTTTGAACGATACGTCTGATTCCAGTTCTGGTTTAAGTGTATCTGCTGTAGTACTTTTCTGACCAAACTTCTGCTTGAGTTTCTTTTCCAAAAATCTTATCCTGGGAGTGACAGCCAATCCCAAAGACCTGTTGAAATGAAGCAAAAACATCTACATGCACTGATACCATTAATGAATATAAATGTACAAAATTCTATACTTTCTCTTAAAATGATTCACAGAAGGATGATACCATTACAGGGCTAATTTTAAACACTAGGAACCTTCTGTATGAAGATGGACTATGAAAAATTAATTTGCACGGGGGGGTGATATGATCCAAATATGCAGATGAGATATATTGGAAAGTGATATTAGTAACATCCTACAACTTACAACAGTGTAAGGAAACGACTCTCTAAGTCAGAAAAAAAACCTCATCCCCGGAATTTTCCGGACATCAGGAAAATTTTCTTTGAAGTTCCAGAAATTGCGCTTTACATCATCTGTCGAACCCGGAAAGAAATCCCCCATCCCTGGAATTTTCTCAGAATTTTCAAGAATGATGTAACATACTGTATTATTTCATCTCTCAAAGCCGGAAAAAATCCATACCCGAAATTTTCCGGGTACCAGGAAAAATTTCTTGAAATTTTCCAGAAAATATACCTCTCAGAAAATTATTCCCAAAGATGGTGGGGATTGGAGCGTTCGAGATACAGTACTGGGATGCCGGATAAATGGTCCCAAACCTCCCAGTGCCTTTATTTGAGGCTAGGCACTTTGATTTTTTTATGATAAATATAGTTGGCAGTCAAACGTGTCTGGTCTTACTGGACGTTGCAAAGGATATCTTTGTATTATGAACTTGCTTTGTGATCTGGTCAAATAAGGAGTGCCATGTGCAGTGGTGGTTGATCATAACTCATAGTCTCCTAGCCATCTGTTACAGCCACAGCTTCTCATACCTCCCACCACACATACACACTTATTTTTCTGGGGTGTGGGGTGGTGGGGTGGGGTAGGTTAATCTTTTATCACCTTTGTTGGGTTTCCCTGAGGGTAAACCTGATGGCCGCAGCAGTGCATTATTCAAAAGGTATTGAGACTACACCAGGTTACAAAATGAAGGGAAATAAAGTAGGTATGGACAAACTGGTAACACCATATGCCTCCTACATTCCAATGTGAGAGGAAAAACAGTGGGACAGGTAGAATTGATCTATTCAACAAATTAATTAAGAAAGAAGTCTACACTTACCGAGCAAATGCATCAAGATCAACAGCGGTGACATCAAACACCTTCTTGTTCTTCATTAGAGCCAAGTGTTTCAAATAAGCCTTAAATGCCCTCACTGCCTCCTCCTTCAGGTTTGAATATTTACTCAGGATTATTTCAATCTTGATATTGATGCTCTGCATTTTTGCAGGGTCAACACTGTGTGGAGGAGGAAAAACTTGTCATTAATTGAAATCATGTTACATTATGAAAATCTTCTACTAGTACAGTAAATCAAAATACAGGAACCTCTGTAATCCTATACAGTAAGAAAAATATCTCAAAAATATATCCATCAATAAATTACTCCCCATCTAGCACATTTTGTACCAGTCAATTTTGTTGATCCTCCTTTCCATCTAGTTTCTTGTACACAACAGGCATTTATCTTTATAAGGCTCACTTAATCTTCCCCAAACAGAACAACGTTCAGACTTCCAACTCCCAACCCAACTACAGTATGTCAGGTTGCTCTACTTTGCTTTCACACAGTTTTCTTTGGTAGGCACAGTGTGTAGGAGATTTTTGCATAAAGAAAATTAGACCAAGTGATTTTTGGAGATGGGTAACAACTCAAGTGTGATCTCCCATCACTGCTCACAGCCACAAATCCAAGTACACTACAGGCATGCTAGAGAACTTAATGCTGTAGCAAAATCAGTCCAACATGTGGAATTACTCCAAGGGTCATTACGACAAATTATCAAAATTATTATTTTTTTATCCCAGATCCTTAATCAGTGTGTTGGGAGTACATATACTGTATAGGGAGTGAGATTTTGGAAAAATTAAACAATAAATAAAATAAAAATTAAGCCAAAACACATTTTCTCTTTGCATTGAGAATTAACATGTTTAACAACTAGTTCTGTATACTAAAAACACAATATATCACCACTGAAAAATTACAGGTGGCAAGTAATTAGTGTTGGAAACAAATGGAATTATTTAGTCAATACAAGAAAATTTTACCTTGTGTCGATATATAAAACAAAACAAAAATTAGACACAAGCTTACGATATTTTGAACATTGTACTTGTGTGTTACAATGAAAAGTGACTTAAATACAATACGCAATATCAATTACATTCTTCTAACCTGACAGAAAATAAAGCACTAAAATACCATGCAATTCTATAGTACAGTACTATGATGTCCCTTTAAGACCATAATGTTCAAATTAAAACAAGATGTGGACTCCTAAATTTATGTTCCTTGAGTGTAAGTATACATATAGATGCAGCTTTTTTGTTACAATAGAAACATCAGTATCTGTTTTGAGGATACAACAGATGTACTACTTGACAGGGAACAGTACACTTACTCTATTTTATCAACAAGAATATTTTTGGTACCCAGACAAGTTAACATTGCCTGCTCCTCTGAAGGTGTAAGGAGAAGGATAGCCTCCCCATTCCTGAAAAAGCGAGCAGTTCTTCCAACACGATGAATATATGCTGTCACGTCCTCTGGGCAGTCTGCTTGAACTACCCAATCAACAGCTGGAATATCTGTAAAGGTAAAATCTCATTATTGTATATCCTTGTTTAATGCAAAATTACATTCATTACTGACCCCAGATTCTCCCAGTTGTCTTTTCACTGCCTGAATTAAAACTTCTCTGTTAGCAGAGAGAATGTAGTAAAAAAATTATTTTCTAAGAAGTGAATGTACTGTCTGTAGAAAAGATCGAAAATAGAATGGCAAGATAAAAGAATGATATGAAACTGCAGTGACTAATAAATCAAGGATGGATTATACTGTATAATGTTAATGGGTCAGCATTGCAAACATACTGGTGAGGTTGAAGAAAGGCAGGATGGTTGAGTGAAGGAACAAGTGGAATGAAGGATATATAATTGTGCATGAACTATTGAAATTTTGCAATAAAAATGTACATGAGGTTTTGATAATTACTATTATTATCACCACCATTAATCTGAAATACCTCTCAGTTCTGAATTACATATTTAACCCTTTCACTGCCATTTTCACACTTCATTTTATTCTGGTTACCACCAGATGCTTTTTTTCAGCTTAGGGAAATCTCCAGCAGCCAAATGGGTAAACTAAATTATATATTATGTAATACTTATTGTGTTAATTTTTATAATCAAATAAAGGAAATGGAATAAATAAAGTAATTAAGGTAATAAGGAAAGTGTAAGAGAGTTGGAGGTGTTGGTAAACCATGGAAACTCTTCCTTTAATTGTTAATTCATTCTTACTTCTGTTATGGCCCTGTCCTGCTACAAAATGTCCCTATTAACATCACTACTAACTTATTAATATTAAATCAATTCACTATCAGATATATCCAACAAGACAGAAGATGGACAAGTAGTGATATCTAACAATCTATGGTTCTCACCTAGACCTCTGGCAGCGACGTCAGTTGCGAAGAGTACGGCACATTTCTTCCGGCAGAACTCATCATAAATTGCCATACGCCTTAACTGATGCATGGACCCGTGAAGACCCATTACCGATAAACCTGGATGAAGCTTGCAGAACATACTATTTAAAAACTGCACCTGAAATTACAAATATAATCAAAGTTATATACTGTACCAGTAATACATGCATATTTATTAACCTACAGTAGGATTAACTAATTACTCGTGTACACTATACAATACCTTAAGCACTGAATCATGGTCTTCAACAATTATATAAGGCTATTACAGTACAGTACAGAACACTTCAGTATGTCCATATACATCCTATCCATGGTTCCCCATTACCTGATAATAATTATAATTACCAATGATCTTTCTGTGATAATGTTAATGCTTAAGGGTCAACCTTTATACTGGATGCTGGGTTTTGTTAACAGTCATTTGTTCACTAGCCAGCACATTATTGACATTGTTGTTTGTTTCATAATAACTTGTGAATACCACATTAAAATGGCTGTTGTGGTGTTCTACTCCTATTACTGTATAGTAAAAGTCTCAAGTATCTTCAACCTTGACTTCCCCTGATGACCCTGAATTCATCTACAACACATTTCTGCAAACCTCACCTTGGAAACAGATATATGAGGACTTTTTTTAAGTACAAATGCAATTTTTCCATTTCTTTTCAACAATTTCATGTACACTGTATATAATACATGCAATATATACGTGTAAAAACCACTACATGTATAACAACTGTTTATTAACCATAATTAGGTGGATGAATTATGCAATATCAATCATAAATTTTTTTTATCTAAAATACAGTACAGTACTCACAAATCTTAACATTTTGGATGAAAGAGGTCATAGTGTGTGTGTGTGTGTGTGTGTGTGTGTGTGTGTGTGTGTGTGTGTGTGTGTGTGTGTGTGTGTGTGTGTGTGTGTGTGTGTGTGTGTGTACAGTCGCCTCCAGGTGTGATGTTACCCCCCTACCCCTTGTTTACGTTCATTATGTACTGTACCGGTATGTGTTTTCCTGCACCAAAGTACAGTAGCACACAAAGAATCACCCCAAACACTGTGATGGCCTTCTTTACAAGAATATAAAAATATCTTACTTGTTTACATGTTGCTAAAAATACTAGAATCTTGTGTTTCCTGTGATGTCTGATGAATGACCAGAGAAAGGTGAATTTGTCATGAACATCACAAATAACATAACTCTCCTTCAGGCTTTTTGGCGTTGAGGTCTTTGAATACTCATGGACAGAGCAAAACACAGGGTTGTTGCAGCCAGCACGGATTAAATCTTTTACATCTCTGAAAAAAGAAGCGGTGATAAATTCCAGTCTAAAACTTATGTGAATATCTTCTAGTACTAAAATACAAACTTATCATAAAACTATAAATGCATTCTCAAAACTTTTCGGTATAAAGTGGAGCTCACTCTTCCCCTCTCAAACTCTGTTCCACCTTCTTTAGAATGTACCCTACCTATCTTTAAATTGCTCATGATGAAATTACAATAACAATGAATTAAGTTTTTTGTATTTCTGTTTCTTTTCTACAAATTCACAGCCTTTATCACTATGTAGCAAGATGGTTGTCATAAAAAGCAAAAACAAAATATCCTTTCACTTTTATTCATTCACCCTAACTACAATGCCACACACATAAACCTTATGACATGCCTTCCTTATATCTCAGGTGCTCCACAACTTCCTGGATGTCCATTCCCATCAACCTAATTTCCTCTAGATCTTCCCCTCCTCCTTCCTATCATCCATCTCCACATTATACAGTACACTCTCTTTACCAATTCCTTACAGCCACAATTAAAAATACTATAATACACTGGTGTAAAACTCTTGTACTGATAGTGTTAAAACACCCCACACATTGGGTAGTTTACAAATCCATATCTATGACACTTTATCTAAATTAACTGATTCTACCCCTCAATATAAAATTGTGGCGAGAAGTCAACCTGCATGTGATTAGTGACGCACGCGCACACACACACACGCACATCATATAAGTACAAAGAACTGATGAAGTTAAATGTGAATGTGTCACGATACCAAAATGAAATGACAGGAATACATGTAAACACTTCCTCAAGCATTAAATCAAGAATTGTAATGACCACTAGAAGCTGTGTACTTACCTAGTCTGTGTAGCAGAAAACAAAAGAGACTGCCGATCAGAAGGTAATTCCTGAAGGATGCAGTTCATGGTGTCTGCAAACCCCATTGACAGGCACTGATCAGCTTCATCTAATATCAACATCTGTGACACAAAAGAACACATGTAGCAAGGCGACTGTATAAGAAGGTCAACTAATTTTTTAATAAGTTCCAGTCAACATTGTGAGATGTTTTTGGCTTTTTAACTTGTAGACTTATCTGGCTATCCCTAAGTTACCAAGCCAGATAATGTACAGGACAATAAATGAGTTGATCAAATGTCATTTCAAGGGAGCCACAAAAGGTTAAGTCATATAAAATCTCAATAATCCTGTATTTTAATCTGCTTTCTAGTATTATTAAATTTACAAAGAAACAATGACCTGAACATTAAAACTGTATCTCACCTGGACATTATCTGATGTAAACTCTGGGTTCTCCGTCATGTGTTGCAAGAGACGGCCGGGTGTGCATATCATGATATTGCACGTACTAACACGGTTCCACTCATACTTTAAATCTTTCCCACCTATAAATATTGCAAAAAGAATCTGTAAATATTGGCTTATATTTTATCAAACAAGCATAAATTTGCTTTTCATAAGAATCTGACACTTCCTAATAACTATGTACTGTAGAATATTCCATAGTTATTCTTAATATACAAATCTTACCCCACTATGATGCAGGATGACTGGACAGAGGCTGATCACCTGGTTCTTAGCATTCAACAGTTATTAGGTTATCCCAACTTATCCTAAACACATGGTAGGATTCACCATAAAAGTAGAAGGCAAAGTTGCTTTCTACTCTTGAACTGAATTATTACAAGCCCAAAAACTCTATACTACCGTATCCCTAACATTCAACTTCTGCAACAACACTTCAACTTAACTCCATCCCATCATTACATCAGGTGTTTTCTTAACCATATAATAGTATGAGAAAAGAGATATATAGGTGTTACAGTACATGGTAACTGAGCTTCAACATTAGGTCAAGTCCACAGTATACAATCAATTAAAAATTTCACTGTCTTGAACAATTATTAAGCAACAGATGGTGAAAATAAGCAATAGGGCTGTATTCTTCTGACAAAACATACTATCAAGCACTAACAGTTAAATACAAATATTGCTACTACAGCACCGAGGAAGATTTATGGCATAGGAGTATAATTGACATTTACCTATGACAAGACCAGCAGAGAAGTCATGTTCCTTTCCCACTTTCTTCAGCACCTCAAAAATCTGGTAGGCTAATTCTCTTGTTGGGGTGATGACCAGAGCCCCAAGACCATCCATAGGTGACCATCTTTTGCAGTACAACATTTCTAAAAGCTGGAATATAAAAAGCACTGAATTACAATAAAAATCCACCGATAAATATTACTTAGGGGAGGAGTAATACAGTATACACAACTACAAGACCCATCCAGAGCTACAATTTCTGTATCCATGACTTTTAAATTCATATTAGATGAATCCAGTGAGTTCTGCATAGAGATGGACCCTAGGCATGCCCTCCAAGTATTAATGTGTACAGTACGTAATTTCAATATACTGTAACTATTAAAAAATATCTTTAATCACTAAAACTAAAATTTATATAATCTCTTACAACCGATATAATAAAAAAAATATAAAGAACTAAAGGTAACTTACATAGATGATGAGAAGAAAAAATGTGTTTCACCTGTTAATCCCTTTTCTACAGAGATACCACTTTTAATATTCTATTTGGGTAATGCCAGACGCTTTTACTCAGGTTGGAAGTAAACCCATACAGCTGGGGTTAACAGTCAAATTTGCTTTTTTCTACAGGGATTAGCCCACTCAGACACTCAAATAGTGTATTAATTAACATACATTCCTATAAACAATAAAAACATACAGTAACATAAAAGTACAGTGCTAAACCTTATTTCAATAAAAATGTCAGTCCATGAATTCTTCAATTTTTATTTTATTTTATTTTATTTCAACATTTCTCTTGCTGAAGCGAGATTTACAACCTGAAACGACATTGAATAGTTTATCAATATTTTCGTAAATTCATCAAATTAGCAATTTTTATTAAAAAAAAAAGCAGATACAAAGTGAAAAAAGGTGTACTGTAGCTGACAGTGTAATCAAAGACGTAGGCTATCAGCTGACCCTCAAACACAAACCTAGGCACCGTCAGGTTACCCCATGTAGGATTATCATATTTTCTGAATAACAAAGAAACTCAAACAATATCAACATAAATCAATGTTTTTCCAAGCATTGAAATTCATTTTATATATAAGAATTTCCTACATCAATACAGGTACTCCTTGACTTACGACTGCCGTAGTCGTATAAAATATTTTTCAAATTACGTATTTTCGAGTCCCGACGTTAGTGATTGCGCTGTGTATTGACAAAATTTTCGTTTGTAATTCCCTTTAAAATGGCTGGCAAGTGTATAAGTGAGAGTTCTCGTGGTGCTGAGAAGAAAAAGAGACACCCATTTTAGATTTTCTATGTATTTTGCCTTTTCGACTTACGACCTGGTCGTTCATCCCTAACCCCATCGTAAGTCGAGGACTAACTGTACATGTTAAATTTTTTAAAATATGAGTAAATTAAGTTACGGTGTTTGTCACCTTTAAACAGTAATATGAAGGTAACAATTATTATTGTATACATGTAAAGCTACATAACCATTTACTTAACTTAACATCTTAAATCTAAGGAAACTTTAGTAACTGAAGAAAACCTGGATAACACCTTCCTCACCAGAGGTCGAATCACACTACAGCTGTATCACCAGCACCCTAGGAACTTATGTTAGAATTATTACTAAATCAATGATGTTACTTACTGGAATGATAAACGCCAGTGTCTTCCCAGAACCAGTTTTTGCTGCAGCTACAACATCAGTGCCATGAAGGGAGAATATGAGAGACTGCCGCTGTACCTTGGTGGGCACTGTAAAACTGCCATCTTTAAGTCCTTTCAGAGTTTTTCTACTTAAAGGCAATTTTGCAAAGCTCAGTATTTCTTCAGGACTTATGTTGGCAAGCTGAAAATAACAAAACCTTTTATGTATTAAAGATCTTTTGTTCTTACCATACGGGCATTGTAATCCATGCTGTACTAATCTATTTTAAGAAGAGAAATATGAAGGATGAGCATCAATAAATGTAAACATCTAATACAGTACAGGCTAACCCATTCAATTCACAATGTACCTCAAACACATCTGGATGGTGTCAAGCACAATGAAATTCAGTAAGTGCTACTGTAGGCAACTGAAAATCGTACATTTCCAACATGAGAATTTGAAATGATATTAAACTACAGTAGATTCTAAAAATAATCTTATTGCCTGTACTATATGTCATCCATCTACCGGTATATAGTAATTGTAATGTGAGTCTAAAATATCTTTTTAAAATATGTTACAAAAATTCTGGAATTTGCCAAATCCCATATAAAAAATTTGAACTGTGATAAAAAATGTACCCTAGACAAGAGTGACCTTACCTCTGTTTTCCTATTTTCTAGGTTATCCACCTCTTCCTTCTCTTTTGCAGATCGCTTTTTCTGGGGATTAAATTGTGGTTTTTGGTACTTTTTAAAGCCTTGCTTCTTACGTGGACCATTTGGCCTGTTCAAACCAGACATCTTTGTTTGGGCACCTTGATCGTTCTGCAAAAGTGAACAAAAGAAATAAAGACTAAACACCAAAAAATATATGAAGTACTGTACATTAATCACAACAAAACAAGCCCCTGCAGCAAGAATTGAGGATGTACTGTACAGTATTAGATTTAACAACCAATATCTCTACATTTTCAGCCCTTGTAAATACATTGGTCATGATCATCAGTGTCCTGGTCTCCCCAGCACTTTTCTGACTAACTGGGAAGGATAGTAGAATAAAAAAAATATTTCTCTATAAATGTACAGTCGACCACAGGAATAAATATACAGTACACACTATAGCTGTAAGGTCCGAAAATGGTCTGGTAACGTGGAAACTGCGCATCCAGACGCATGATGAAACTCCCCCACCTGTTATCTCTAAATAGTTTCTGTTTCCCCTTCTTTATTCTTATATTTACTCCTCTTCCTTCCATTACACATCAAAACACCAGTTAAAAAAAGTAGGGTAAGAGAAAAAGTGGGGGAGGAGGAGGGAGCTGTATGATAACTGCAATCCCATTTGGCAACAAGTTTGCTACCATTGGATACAATATATTACTTGTAACATAAACACAAGACAATAGTAAAACATTCACAACAAATGTCTTTATAACATATATGTAGGAATAAAACATAAATTACAGGTCATTTTGTAATTTTGTCTGTTCTGTTCAGGACAGTGTTACCAGATATTTTGTCTCAAACACAAACCGTAGGTGTATACTTATTCTTGTGGCCGACTGTACAAGGAGTGAGTGAGTGAGACAGGATATAGTGTTTGGTGAAGGGTTAGGAAAAGCAAGGGGGGGGGGGATTGTTGAGGTAAGTGATTCTCCCTCCCATGGCATTTAATCCTCTTGGCCCTTTACCATTTCTACCTCAGATGATACAACAATATTTTAAATATTATTCTGTACACATAATTAGCAGATGACATGTGCAGATAAAAAAAATAAATAAATGAACCCAGTGGCATCAATACAAACTTGCTACATAAATTGAAATAAGTTTGCAATAAATTGGAATGCAGAATACTAAATAATTTTTCAAGAGTAGTGATGAGCCAGGGAAGGTGTGTGAAAACTGTAACTAGAGAGTACAGTACAGTATTACACTTACCTCTGTTTTATTTTCCATCTCTTCCTTTATTTTTTCACTTGGTGTTTCTGTGGCTTCAACTAAGGTTTATGGTTCCCTTTAAAGACTCACTTAATCACAGGAAGCATTTTGTCTGTTCATACTGAATATCTCTTGTTTGATCAACTGGACCTCTCTGTAGGATTAGACCAAATAAATTAGACAAAATAATGACAAAATAATGATTTAATGCATAAAACTATATCCAGTATCAGTGAAAAGTTGTTCCTTACCTCAGGAATTACCCATATTCATCTTAAGAATGGCAATTTATATATTTGGGCTTTTCTTAATTTTTTCCTTCGAGCAATTCAAAATGAATCAACAACAGCTGACCTGTCATTTTCCCTTACAATGTGTAGTGGTTGCAATAGAATTGCCAGTGATTTGAACTTGCTGAATATTATTAGGTGTACAGTAAATCAAGTCTAACAGCCTTATTTTATTTTAATATTTTATAAACATTTTGTAACCAAAATATATGAGGCGCTTAGAGCCAGAGTAACAAATCAACCAACCCCCAGATATCCTAATTTGTGTATGAATGAGTCCATCAAGTGTTTCTTTACCATATCAGATGGTAAAAAGTGGGGATAGTCACCTTAGCATTAGAGCAAGATTCCCACTGAAAAGGAAATGTTTCCCAACCTTATGAGCTGGCACATGAATGAGCTTATGAGAGGGATACTTGAAGTTAGACCTAGCCTAACATAACCATCCTAACCCAGCCACAGCACTCAGGAACTATATCTAACCTAACCTAAATTCCTAAGATTCCCAGGAAGATCAAAACGCTTCTGTACCCTAGGATATTCTTGGGTAACTCATCACTAATTTACAAGAGAAAATATGAATCTTACCAGTTTTATACAGAATCTGATCTAACTTAACCACAAGTACTCAATTCCCCTGATGTACTGTATGGGTACTTAAATGAAACTCACCATACAAATACATATAGCTGGCACATAAGGTATTCATCATATACATGCCAACTAAATGAATATACCAGTCCTTCCTTTATCAGACAGTGAAAGAAAGTAATACTGATCTATTTTAGTTAAGCAAAGAGTAGACACAAATACTAAAACACCACAAATAATACAACTTTTTCTCACCTTCACCCCTCCAACACGTGAGCCACGACATACACTGTTTACATCATATCATTCCAAGTTAAAAATATAACATAATTATTTCCCATTATGAAACTGGATAGCTAATATATTTTAACGTATCAAATGAATAATTAATAGTTGTATAATAATCCTAAATACGCTTTTATTTCCGAGCAAGATTTTAATTCAGCTATGAACTTGTTTGAGGTCACCTATATTTTGTGTTGTGATCAAATGGTCTACACGATCTATTTTTTCCCTGTAGGATTTTATTAATTAAGTTTGTATAAATGTGTTAAAATGGGGTTATATCTAAATTAAACCGACTTTTACTTTCATCCTTTTCGCCACTGATCGGCTCGTTAGCCGCTTGGGTGGTCGGTTACGTCACTGTTACGCACTGTTGGCAAGTGCTGGGCATGTATTGGCTCATGAATGTATCTGCTGTACCTGCGCCAGTGTTGGTAAGGTCTGGTCTTGAAAGAGCTCACACTTGGTGCCGTCACAACGCTCTCTGGTAGATTGTTTCAAGAGTTTATAATTCTCACTCAGAAAAAGTTTGCCCTCACAGTTTTCTGGACTTTGTGGCTTCTTCAACTTTGAGCTGTGACCCTTTGTAGAGCAAGCGTCCACCAGCTTCAGGTATGGACACTCGACTGAGTAATTCCCTCTGGGCTCTGAGATGTTTATAAACTTCAATTAGGTCCCCCCTTGCCCATCTACAGTATACGCTTGGCAATTGCAAGCGTTCTAATCTCTGAAAATATCTGAAAAGACAATCAACTTGAAATCTGTAAATGTATAGGGAATGTGGTATTAAATCTGGCATAGTTTCCCTTACACCCGTTTTCTATGAACAATTTACAATGGTAAACTCTGGCTCGTCTAACTTATTCAAGCTGACACTAATTAATTGTTATGTATGGCGACCCTTTCTTAATAGAGTTAATAAGTTACCAGTTAGGGTATGAGTCAGTTAACAATGCCAATCGTAAGTTTTTTTTTACCTATCTACAGTACGTTAGGCTTGATAGCCAAATTTTTGGTCAGTAGGGAGGCAGTCCAGGGGCAGATCCAGGAATATCAAAGAGGGGAGGGGTCCAAGAAATTGTGGGTGGGAACGTAATGGCGAGCACAGCGAGCACAACCAGCTAGGGGTTCTGGGTGGGGGCGCTTTAAGCCCCCAGAAAAAATTAAATCTGACCAATATTATGGGCATTTTGAGGCTATTTTGACGCCATGTGCACTTGATATTAGGAGATATTCTATACAAAACGCCTGACTACAATACTGCATTAAAGAAAAAGTCTTGTAATTTTCTAATGAAAGGGGGATCCGGATCCCGATCCGCCCTTGAGCAGTCATCCATTGAACATTACTAAATAATAAATGTGTCATTCTTGCAGTACCATAGTTTTTTTGTTTTTGTTTTTATCCTCTTCACCACTGATCGGCTCGTTAGCCGCTTGGGCGATCGGTCACGTCTCTGTTACGCACTGTTGGTGTAACAGAGACCATTGAGAAACCTTATCGAATGTTTTCAAAAAGTCCAAATAAAATATCTCTAATGTCCGCCCCCAGACGCCTACTATACCATACAGACATTGTTCATCGTGGGTGAGGGAAGTACTGTGATGACATCCAGGCAGGCTGTTTGATAGTGTAGTAATGTATAAGTCTACTGTGAAGATGGAAGCAAATCATATTGCTTTTGAATGTAATCAGTGACCGACCTCAACCATAATCTACTAATTTCTAACCAGTAACCTTATGGAACTGTTCTCAGTTTGGTGGTAGTAAGGAGAAGTGTTGGGAAGTTAGACGACTAAGAAACATCAATAAGACGTTATTGAGGTGATAATTATAACAAAGATCAACAGACTAGCCTCAAGTGTTGGGAAGTTAGACGACTAAGAAACATCAATAAGACGTTATTGAGGTGATAATTATAACAAAGATCAACAGACTAGCCTCAATATTAACAGATAAATCAACAGGACGAATTTTCACCACCTGTTAACGGAGAGATTAACAGTTTGTTTGCCAAGTACTGACCGCAGATCAAAATGTACAGTATACCACCAATCGGAGAGGTCTGGCGGTCACAACTTTAACGAGGTTTGTGTCCCGGCGGGTCCGAATATAGCTTTCCCTTCTCAGAATACAAAATAGTTAAAATTTATTTACAGTATTTATTATAAAAACAAAGGCGAGGGAAGAGCCAGGTAAAAAAAAAAAGATCGTGGTTGATTAGGTTTTATTGTGGGATGTAAAAAGAGGCGGATTATCGTGAACCTGATGACCCATAAGATAGTGAGACCGTAGCTCACCCGTACCTAACTCACCTACAACTATACATGAATACATATACAGTATACATCCATATACACACTGAATATGTAAGAAAAACACATATATTTCATACAAATATTTCGTGTGCAATTGTATAAAGGTATGCACGATAAGTCCAATAGAAAAAAACGGCATTACCAAATCAGATTATGCTTCCATTTAAATGAAAGAACACCCAGTAAAGTGATCTGTGTTTATCATTATTAAAACTACAATAATGAGCCCAACCATATTACTTTGTCCAGGTAATGGAAACTATACGCACAATTTAACGACTTTTTTTAAACTGTTGATATACACATGTGGAGTGCGATGGCCAAGTGGATACAGCATACTGTACATCCAGCTGTGAATGGGATACCCGGTTTTACAGTAAGAGAAATGAATGGCAGTCGAGCGCAGTGCAGTACCATAAAATAAAGGGTTTGTGTACAATGTGGTGTATTCGAACTATCCGAAATGTCGTTATACGCCTTCTGGACCCACCACCACGTTCATACACGACATCAGTGTCAAATAAATGCAGTTAACATCAAAATATATAAAGTATAATATTTTATTGGTGTTAAGTTTGTGACCCTCACTAAAGTGCGTTTTTTCCCAGCTGAGAAAAGATGCCCCGCCCCCTCCTCAAGAGTTACAGCTGATTAGCTGTTGCAAACCTGTCCGATTTTGTCCTGAAGTAATGATGTATTTTTAAATGAGTTTATTCATAATCGTTGGGATAACCGTTTCTGACGAGAAAGATATTTAGCAAAATTATATAAAGATACATACATTCATTATTTCAAACATAAGCACGTAGGACGTTTATCAGAAGTATTATACAGTACACGGATTAACTGTTAAACTCTGGCCGGGCCGGTGGAAAGTTGTTTGGACACACTTCCTAGCCCCCCTTGGTCCCTGTTCACCTAGCAGTAAAGTAGGTACCTGTTGTAAATCGAAAAGTTGCGAATTCGTATTCAGGGAAAGTTGTTGGAGTTTCCAATACCTTGCTGACAAACACCTATGACTCTTCAAGCTTCTACGCCCTTGACCAAAAACCTATGACCCTTCAGGCTTCTATGCCCTTAACTCATGAGACATAAAGGCAAGCATGAATTTAGCATGCTTCCCAGATGGGCGCCGTAAGCGCTGTGAGCGCTTCATCCTGCACCGAATGTAGAAGGGTGCCCAATAAACTAAAAAAAAAAAGAAACCCTCTGGTAGCAAATTCACGCTTTCGGGGGATGCATTTAATAATACTTAATTTTTCCACAATAAGGCATACTAAGACAAATTACGTATTAGTATTACTAAATTATGCAAAAACAACATTTTTAAAGATCAGAATCACATTGAAATATTACACGACCGTTAGCAGAGGCGGGGAAAATATGTTGTTTGAAATAATGAATGTATGTATTGTAGGAATTCGTGGTATAATGTTGTCTAGCACTCAGGATGGATGGAAACTCTAAGGTGGTTTTCTTGTATAATATAAGTTATATGATAGACAGTCTGGTGCTGGAGGTGCCGTGTGGTGAGGAGCTGCTCAGTAGAGACGTTCGGTGAGTAGCGTGTTGAAGGAGGTAGATGTGCAGGAGCTTCGTTAGAGAAGATGTTGCCTGTTGCTGGCCTCCTGGTTGAATGAAAGCTGGACAGCGAGGAGCTTGCTGGAGGTGTTGCGTGTTCAGGAACCGAGAGCAGAATGAGAGAGCTGGTCGGTGAGGACGCTCAGAGAAGGACAGTTGGTGGGTCGCCATGCTCGCCGGCGGGAGCGAGGACCGCCAGGCAGCGGCGGAGGAGGTGTTGCTTGTTCAGGAAGAATGGCCAGATTGAATCTCAATGGAGAGACAGAGCTTATATACCCAGCAGCCGTGAGTCATCTATGAGTCATGTAGGGAAAACCCGAGAAGTAACCGGTCTTTGGCTCCGTTGCTAGGATACTGCGGCATCTGGTGACGCCGCCGCCTGGGCCGCTAGTTTGGTTGCTAGGGAAGATGGTAGCAGCTGGTGGCTGCGGCTATGCAGTTGTAGGCAGTTGTAGGGGAGACGTCCACTACAATACTCCCCCTTCCCTCCAGGCGGTGTAGGAGACTTGTTGTCTGTAGAGTTGCTTAGCACATGTGAGGCAGACCGGGCGGTGCATGCCACATGTGAGAACGGCGATGGCGTGAATGAGCCGATCGCTGAATACAACTGTCTAGATACACACTATCTGTGGGAGAAGGGAAAAAAGGGTGTGTGGAGGCGATGAATGTTGTGCTTCCCTCACGACAGGTACAGAGTCGTCAGATGCGCCTGCTGGGGTGTGTGTGGGCCTGGGTCAGGAGCAGGGGCTGCGTCAGCAGAGGCGGATAAGGGCTCGTGACAGCAGCTGGGTCCACGACAGCAGCAGGGTGCAGGACATTAGCAGGGAGTACCTGAGGGAGAAAAGAGGGGTGTGTGTGGGTCCGCACTCAGGAACAGAGGCCGCATCAGGGGCGGCAGGGGTTACTGCTGGGCCGGGGTCGGCGTCTGAGGCAGGACGGGTGTGCTGGGGTCGGTAGGATGTGGTGCTTGGGGCAGGAAGAGGAGCTGGTGTCTCCTCCATCCTGTGTGAGTGCTTATCTCCCGGAGTCACCATTTGTAGGGTTACGGGATATAATGTTGTCTAGCACTCAGGATGGATGGAAACTCTAAGGTGGTTTTCTTGTATAATATAAGTTATATGATAGACAGTCTGGTGCTGGAGGTGCCGTGTGGTGAGGA